GTGGCTCCCGTCCGCTTCGCTCTGAGTTCCTTGGAGATCGTAAAGGGCATGCAGGCAGATGATTAAATTCAAAGCAGCAAAACATGCGGAAATGATCCATGGTTTTCGCAAATCATTAAAAATAATTACAATTCATTCATTAATTTCATTAAAAAAAAATTCCTTAATTTTTATCATTTTTATCAATTTTTTTATTTTTCGGGTGTAACAATAAACATATACCGAACCGAAAACCATGACCACTAAACCGTGAACCGTGAGTGGTCTAGCCTTGATCAATGCCTCAGGCCCTAGAACTGGCTGGCCAATCATGACGCAGAGATGTGTTTTCAATGTCTGGATGCAAAGCGGACGGGCTTTTGAGGACGCGATGACAAAGCTGCGCGACGCTGGAGAAAGCACAACAAGGAAGATGGCAACATCTATTGAACATTACTAGTTTGACTCAGCTTTGGAATCAGTTTTGGAAGGATTAGACTTTGAAACGTGAGCAGGAAGAGGCTCTACGCTCATTAATTTTTAAGAGGGACGTATTCACCGTTTTACCGACAGGCTGTTTGTTTACACTCCCCCACCAGCTTTCTGGCGCGCTTACTACGTCACAGTCAGTTGCGCTCATTGGTCAGAGCGTTGGCCAATAGGCACAGACATGGTTTGAAAAACAAGAGTTGTTCTCATCAGCAATCTTCCGATTTTGTCTGGTTTATCAGGCTGGTTTGTGACTATAGTTTATTGACAGTCTAGATGCCTATCACTATGCTATGGGATAGCGGCAGAGTTAAAGTGCTGTATATTTTAGCCTGATGTAGCATTTTAGCTTACACTAGTTAGCAGGTGCTGCAGTTCCACTGGACTGGTTGCAATCTTCAGCCATTCCTCAAAGTTCTGACACAGAGAAAACTGCCCCTTCAAATACAATCACATTATGATATATAGAAATGAATAAATATATCTTGAAATAACTCAAAGATCAATCTTGACAATAAAGTTGATTGATTGATTAAAAATTATGTTGGAATACAGGGTTACACGAGAAAAGGAAAGGTTAGAGATTAAGAGGAAAATTATTAGGCTAGTAGAAGGAGATGAAATGAGACAGCAGCAGAGTCAGGAAGTGGATTCCAGACTCCTGCTGTACTTTGCAGTTCTGTTCCAATTTGTCAGAGGCAGATGGACTGAGAGACAGACTGGAGACGTGTTTGACAGCTCTGGTGATCAAAGCAGCAAGAGAGTTAGGGCATTAGTCTACTAGGGCTTTTTTATTGGAGAGAGGTTCAGCCTGAATGAGTGACGGCTGTAGTGTTCTTGGGGTGAATGGAGGAGCTCAATATGCCTTCATTTAGTCCCCTATAAGTCTATCTATCTGTTGCTGGAAGTCTATTTTCTTTAGGAGTAGCAAATGAATTAAAGTGACAGGGATATTACAGTAAAGGCTTCCAAATCCTTTGAGTTTAGGACAATCAATATGGTGAAGGGTAAAGGCAGAGAAGCACCACATCAATGACAGATGAATGAATTTGTGAACAACTGACAAAAACAATCTAATTTCTTTATTCCTATCTTCTTTTCAAACAGTTGGTGTAATCCAAACTGATGCATGACCATCTGCAGTGCCCCTACAACCCAGATCCACTCAGTGTTAGGTGCTATATCGTCCTTCAGACTAGTCAAGCCACAAAGGTCCACTGCAGCAGGAGTTCATCATCTACCTGTCCATCAATCCTGTTTTTTTGTTTTTTTCAACCTGAAGCAAACCCCTACAGTGAGCTGATGCAGGCAGTTTTTCAAGCAGTTCTCATGAAATTCTAATGCAACATCGACACAGAAAAAGAAAATCCACACTATCGACGACGCCAAGCTGTCAACAAACCCAAACTTTGACATATTTTATTGGGATTCTATGAAATAGAGCAGTGCTAGGTAGTGTACACTTGGCGAGTAACAGGAAAACTATTCATGGCCTGAATTGTACGTAAATAGACTTTTGAGATATGCAGAATTCAAGTACAGAAGGTAATATTTTGGGGTATATCTATGCCAACATTAGGGATCCCCTACCCTGTATGTTTTAGATGGTCCAGTACTCCTCAATGATCCTCTGCATGCCCTCTAGAGCTGCAGAAACCTGTTAATAAAAATCCCTTTAAGTCAGGTGTGTGGCAGGAAGTAGACCCCTACAGTAGAAGCCATTCAAAATTTCCCCATGATCCTTGGCTGGTCCCCTACAGTTCATTTTTAAACATCAATCTTTGTACTAAAATATTCTTTTTGTCATCATTTATGGACATTAAGATCTAACGCCTAGTCAGACCCTGTAATTCAGTGACAGAGTGGAGTCACAGTAAAAATATATGCACGCCCCAGAGAAGGAGGGGGTCACCTGAGGCTGTAAGTTGGAGGCGATTTTGCTCGGAGTTGCAGGGAAATTGGCTGCCATTTGCCTGGTGTTTGACTGGGAAGGGTCATTTTAAATGGCTGTTTCTGTAAAAGACGCAGGGCAGGGGTACTAGAGGAGTAGGGTTGGGGATCTCTGATCAACTTTTGGCCTTCTTTTCACAATTTCTCCAACTGAAGATTCATGAGGCAGAGCAGGAGGCATGTATGACATGCAGTGGTGATAAATCATGAATGCAGCTGTTTGTCTGATTTCCTAAACTCTGCACCTTGACTGCATGACTGACTATTCTCCTGAGTAATAACTGCAAATAAAGGCCAATAGTCCCACAAAATCTTTAGAAAACAAAGTAAACAAAAATGTAATTGATTTGTGAGCATCAATGCAGATCTAATTCATTTTCTTCACAGGGCTTAAGCTGAACTTTGACAGGAGAATTCAAACCTGTAGATATGTTATAATCTAAGCCACTTCATTGTGGTTCTGAGTGATTGAGGTGCACTCCTGAACCTCCAACCTCATCTTAAATCTTTTGGAGCCTCACTTAGGTCCTACTCTGGTTGGTTAGTTCCCACTTTCCTCGTCTCTACACAGAAATGAGAAGTATCTCCACGGAATGATGCTATCCAAACTGTGTCCTACTACGTAAGGAATAATTAGTGTGATGCCCAGTTTTCTTTATGCACATTGGCCAGAAAGGTTCATATCAGTCTGAATTACCTAAAGAATTTTCTTTATGTTAAATTGGATCCCTGCAAACTTAGAATAAGTTCTCTTATACCCATTTCAATTTGGCAAAAGAGAACCCTGTTAATCCCCGAAAACAACAGCTCACTGACACATATGTACCCGGGCCAAACGACTCGGCAAGCGACCCACGAATGGCTGCTTCTGACGCAGACGCAGCCAAGCGACCCTCGGCTCTGATGGCATGCAGTGGGAACACCAACGGGTTGACTCGCTAAATTATAAAACACCATGGAGCACAATGTACAGAGGTCAACACAGTGTCAGTTTCATCTGATCTAAAAAGCCGAAAAAACTCTGTTTACCTTCAATAAATAAGGAGCATTATTGGGAAGAGTTTTCGACATCATTAACGCTCACCCAGCATGATGCCGTCGTCAGACACGCAGTTGTGGGCGACAGTGGTCACGCAGCTCCCAGTTGGGGGTCAGACTCGGCTTTTCAGTGAAATGGCGAAAGAGCCAAAAGTCGATTGTTGCGGGTCAACCCGGTTTTGAAAAAACGGTTTTCAGTGTGAAAGTGACTTTATTCTTTTACAAAGACTTTCATTGTTTTCAGATTTCTCCACAACTTTAAATGAGGTTGACAAAATTTATTGCTACCTAAGTGATGAGATGCTGTAGTTCTAAATAAACAGTTTAGGTATAAAACATAGTTTTCTTCCTAAAAGAAGAAGCAGAAAGTGAGATCAAAGAGTTCATTATGGAGGTGGAAATTTCTGATCGTTTAGTATATTAAAGAAATTATATGTAAATGTAAAACGTGGGATTGACATAGTATCAACCATGAAGAAACTTTAATTTGAGAAAAAGGACAGTTTTAAAGTGGCCGTATGTACTGTAAGGCGCTATGGCGGTGAGTGCTGCAGGGTAGCACTGTTTCATAATTTCCTCTACTCAAACACGTTACTTTTTGTACATCCTCTCTTCCTGCTCTCGGTTTGCTGGTATGACCTCTCCTGCTTGCTGCAAGCAAACCACTCAAAGGTCAACATACTGTAAACACATGCAGTTGTAACTGTACATGGATAAGGAGATTGGGTTCTCCTCTGAAGGATCCCCTCTAGAAACCAGACTCCACAATAGTAAAAAAGTATCTGCAGTAAAACCAAGATGGACACAGTTCCTTTTTATTCTGTACATGTCTGACTTCCAGTACCAGAAAGTGCCCTGTCTTCTGCAGAAATACATAGATGACTCTGCAGTCAATGGATAAATCAAAGACTGACAAGAAGCTGAGTAAAGGGAGTGTTGTAGCATGGATAACCGTGGCATGGAGAACCGCTTTGTAGCATGGTGTGGAAACAATAATTTGACCCTGAATGACAACAAAAAACAACAGAGTGTCTTCAGTCAGAAGCTTCCTTAGATCTGGTGCAAGACAGACCACTACAGAAGATCCTTCCTGCTGACAGCTATCAACACCTACAAAAACTGGTTAAAAAATAACATAGAAGTTACTGCAATATTTAATTTCTCTTTGGGATTAACAAAGTATTTTTGAATTGAATTGATCATTATCTACAGGGTGAAAGCATTTACAGTACGGAGGCAGACATCTTTGCTCTATGGCAGCGCAAAGCTGACAAACTAGTGACATTAGAGAGTTGCATTACAAAGCATAGAATAAAAATAACAACTTTACTACAGGACGCACTCAGAGCTGTTAATAAAACATGTCAAATCTAGATTTTTATATTGCACAGACCACATACATCTAAAAATTAATGAGTTATTTCATTAATTAAGGTTAACGTATGCTGCTTTTCAATGACCTTTAAAAGACTTAATAATTTTAGGAGCAGAAATGTGTTTTTTAAGCATCTAGGAGGCTGAAATCAAGTCTGGTTCTTACATACCCTCTTTCAGTCGCAGCAGAACCGTCCCGTCGCTCGGGTCACTGCAGAAGTAGCCTCCACCCTGTTCGTCCCAGAACAGCAGGTCTTGCCTGGTCTGCAGCTCCTCGGCCCACTGCAGCCACTCTGCTTGAAACGTGGCCTCATACAGGTCCAGCAGGCCACAAATGATGAAAGCATAGTCATCCAGAAACCCACAGATGGGTGGAGATCTTTGCAACACAGAGGAAAAAAGAGAATCAGGGAATTGAAAGAAAAAATGGGAATGAGGACATCCATCATTAAGTATTTATTGTTGGGGGGATTAAGGAAAGCACTGTGATGAGTTCCACTGGTGAACTAGTTTAGTTTTTCATCGCTTATACAATAACAGCCTGAAGAGAATAAAATTTTTACTATCGACAAGCCAGAAAACTAATCAAGCTTCAATGATTCTTAAAATGGTTGTAAAATAATCAGGAGCTCATGGGAGATAGAAAGAATTACTATCAGTGACAAAAGCCTGCAGCAGAGGTTATCCACACCTGTGAAGGGCATTATTTGAAATGTCAGACTTTTAAAAAACAATTAATTATTGCATAAGATTACATTTATTGTTGCTTTGCTGTTATCGACACAGAAACAAACCTTTTACATACAGTACAGACACTGTTAAATAGGCCCGTAACCCGCTTAATAGCTCTTCCTCATGTTTTTTATTCAGCACATTTTTTACTGGATATCTGAGCTATACTACCTGGCACTAATGGTTAAGTTCACATAAATTAACTCTGACCTAGTTTGTTGTTTTATTGAGTTTTGTGTTCTAATGAAACCCCAGTTTTAAACTAAATCCCCACAATTTCAACAAGATTAAGGTCAAAGTTTAGGACAGACTAAACTACAACCAACCATCTAACTGTAGGTTTAAGTTAAACTTCTTACACTTTCCAGCTATTTTATACACCAGTAACGCTAACAGAGAAAAAAGTATGGTGTTACCACCATTGCTCTTTGATTCGACTCCTCCAAATATAATCCTTGTTACTGCGGCAGCTTAATCTTCATGACAACTAAGAATATTTAATTTTCCCTGGAAGAGGGTTTGGAACTGAAGTAGCAGCTGATTTCAATCAAGGTGCCTGCCTTTAAAAGGGAGGGGTTGCTATAAATTTTTCATATAGATGTTATTTATATTGAGCTGCTCAGTGGCGCCTTGCAGCTAGAAGGTTCCGGGTTCGATTCGCGGCCTGCGGTCTTTCTGTATGGAGTTTGGGTACTCAGGCTTCCTCCCACAGTCCAAAAACATAACTGTTAGGCTAACTGGCTTCTCTAAATTCTCCTTAGGTGTGTGTGTGAATGGTTGTTTGTCCTGTTTGTCCCTGTGTTGCCCTATGATAGACTGGCGACCTGTCCAGGTTGGACCACGCCTCTCGCACGTAGACAGCTGGAGATAGGCACCCCTACTCCTCGCAACACCACTTGGGATAAGTGTGACGGAAAATGAATGGATGTTATTTATATTGATTATCTCTGTCAGTTTAACTAACTTGTAAAGAGATGAGAATCTACAATTATATATTAATGAATATTTAATCACAGCTTAACATTAAAAATTATTTTTAGTCAACAAGAATGTCAAAATAAGCGTCCATCTCTTCTTTAAATTCTTCATTTGGAGCTGTCAGTTTCATCTTTGTCAATCAGCCTCCATGTCCTAAGCAAAGGTTTACCACTAATACGGATTTACTTTTTCCCACGGATACCACTGAGTCACCGCTTTTTATAAACTGTTGTTTTTCCACTATCCCTGTCCTTCAAGTTCTCACAGCAGTACCTCCAGATGAGTGAGTGCATGAGGACGGACTGTGACAGGAAGCCAGATAGTGCTGGGTCAGGAGAGGCTGATGGCTGCTGGTCAAGAGGGTGAAAAACCAGGGAGCGATTTGGAGGAGATGAAGTGTATTAATGTGAGAGGTCATAAAGAACCAAGGAGCCATCCTGCAGCGGGATGAGAAATAAGTCATCTCCATGGAGAAAATGATGAAGGAAGCATCAGAATGGATATAATAAGGTTGGAAGAAGGTAGATGCTTGAAGGGGGGACCTGATCAGATTTTTATACTTTCAAATAGTTGTTGAAATAAACACCAAAATAATTTAAACTAATTGGTTTGAATAGGGTTATAGCTTAAATGAAATTTTTAACACTGAACCACCTCTTACATATGGTCAAAAAATGAACAGAAGAAACCAACTTTTGTTCTGAGGAGAATAGGGTTGATTTGTATTTATTTAACCTTGTTATACCCATTCTGACTCCTCCTGTCTCTTATACTTCACTGACCTGACAGACAGAAAGGCAAATTCAAACACTCATTACAACCAAGATAGTGCCATCTATGACTGACAGCATGTCGACTCTAAGAAAACCACATCAGGTGCTACTCCGGTCCTCTAAAAATATGGAACTGAGGCCTGGATTCAAACAGGATAACTGGGAAACATTTCCTGCTCCAATGGATTTTAATTTCAGTTACTAAATTTAGATGGTGGGGTTAGACTTTAGTTTAAATAACGAGAAAACAGGAAAGCAAGGATCCATCCTGGCTTTCTTCAACTGTTCGGGCTGTTGGAGGTGTGATGGTGTGGGGGATATCTCTTTGCATACTTTAGGTCAGAGGTCTTGTACGTGGTGGTCGCTAGACCAATAGTGGCTGATTTTTGCTGCACAAGTTATTTTTTCCTTCAGTTAATGGCACTGTAGGCCATCTTTCGCCCATAGACAGCTGGAGATAGGCACCAGCACCCCTCGTGACCCCGCTTGGGATAAGCGTGATGGAAAATGGTTGGATGGATTAATGGCAGGGTGCCAAAACTTTGCATCACATTTGGTTTAAAACATGACGTTCCGTCATACAGATCATCATCAAATTTCGTTTTGACTCCACTTCCTTCCTTGCAATGCTTCCAGCAGATCTCTAATGAAGCATGAAAAGCTGCCCCACATATTGAGTGTTTAAGGAGGATTCACTGGCAACCCAAGGAACTCACACTGCTCACACTGACTCTCCGAACCAATGATCTGTTCAGACACAGTTCAGATCTGTCCACACATTTTCTATGGGATTGAAGTGGATGCTTCATTTAAAAAATGAATTTGATAACCTAAACCCATATTTAAACTTATTTAGGGGTATGCTCATGGTTATGATCCACAGCTTGTTGCACAGCAATGTTTCAGGCTGTTGGTTGGTAATGATCTGTAGATTAGCTTTAGAATGTGATGGAGCAGAAGACTGGCATCAGTCATGTGTGAATTTTCATCAAATATCTGATGCTATCAGGTCAATACGGGTGGATATTTTATGTGGTCTACGCCATGTAGAATTGAGGTGGTTCTGAAGGTGGTTCAGCCTGGCACCAAAAGGGTTAGTAGGTGCAAACAAACGGATATCAGGGATCAAATTAGCTCCAGTAATCTTAAAGCTTTAGGTCTTTTCAGTTTAGATAAAAGAAAAGATGATATAATAAAAACTGTGCTTCACTTTCCAAAATCATCGTTAAAGGTTTTTCTTTTGTTTTTATCAGATTACGATCATTAACGTTGTGTTTTATATCTTTGTTTGTGTACAGCTTTATTTCTAGGTCCAACATTTACAGTCAGTGGATTTTTCTAAGTTCTGTTCAACACAGGAAAATCAGCAGTTGTGTGCTGCCTTCTCCTGTTACGTTTGTTATGTCTTTTCAAAATCGCAGAGAGTATTGGTGGCCTTCAGACCATGCGTTAATTGCAGCCTGTGGGACTAACTTATCGGGATTTAACCTAAAAGAAGATGCCAAGAAAGTTATGTAGTTCAGGTGAAATCTTAAACTTTTTAATAAAGCCTCACTTGAGGCATCATAAGGTGAAGTGCAGTGTGACACTGCCATGGAGCAGGGATGCTATATATAGAGAGACCCCTTGTGGTTGGCGCACTCATCTAGGGTTCAACAACAGGGCAATTGTCTCCCTTCATATATACCCTGCTTTTCATGTCTGAAGCCCTGGAATAAAAGCTCCTGGGCCCAATGACATTATAAACTATCCCCTTTATAAAACTCTGTAATCATTCGATATGTAAAAGGCAGAGGACTGAGTAAAGAGCAAATAGGATTTATGGGTAAACCATTTACACCTTAGAAAAAGATGAAGACCATGACAGATACCAGAGTTTTCACACATTTTAAACCTTTTAAAGTCACAGAGAAAGAAGTCATCCACAGAACTGCACATCAATCCTGACATTACTGCTATTCTTCTCTTTGCTTCTGCTGCTTTAAGACATTCGATCCTCAGTCGCAAGAGAGGAACCCCAGAAAATCCATAGCACTAACTGAACATCCTATTAACCCACTTAGTCTCAGCTCCAACCATTCCACGTGGTAAATGGGCTCACAGCCAGTGCCTGCATGGAAGCTGAACCAGGCCTGAGAAATGAGCCTTTCTAAGCATTTTCAAAGACGACACCATTCTGAATTGGACTGTTATGAATGAGATGGGAGCTGTGGAACAAGGCCAGGGTGTTTAGGCGCAGAGTGTGTATTTGTTCATGTGTGTATGTTTCAAATTGATTAAGTTGTATTGAGCAGGTTGTGGGACGCTTGGCACATATTTCTGCTGATTCGAAAGCATTTTACACTCCCTCATTTAGAGTAACTGGGGCACAGAGCTGGCGAGCAGAACAAGGCCAACGGAAGTTGTTGTCTAGGATCAACAAGAGACTGTGTTTGATTTTAAGTGTATGTGTGGTGCTTCAAAAACATTGACCCCTGGGGTGCAGCAGTGGCGCAGAGGTATATAGTGTGACCAGCACGCAGGGACCTTGGTCCTCAATGCAACTGTCACAAGAGCCCCAGCCCAGTGACCTTTTCTGAGCATCTTTCGCCCTCTGTATCTACCCCTTCTAGGCTCATTTAAATAACATCCACGGTCGCAAACCCACTCAGACCTCAAGCGGAAGTGCGCAGAGAAAAAACAGCTGAGATTGTTCCTTGGTATGCCTTTCCGGCTGTCTGTTCGATGGTCATTCTCGAATAGGCTCCCCCTTGTGCTTTGGTGGGAAACTGCTGTGCGTCCTTAGAAATTCAAGACCGATGTTCCTGGTCTTGACGGACCGACCAGACCCAAGCGACATTTGATGTGTGCGGTTGCATAAGTATAATGTGCCCTTAATAACCCTTAAGGCTGATTTATACGCAGAAACCAAGTCGTCTGCATGTGTGTTGCAGTAAACGCGAATGTGCCCCTCCCCCCTTCCGCAGACACTTTGCTCCACCTCTCCAGAATTGTGGGTGACCGCAGACAGGAGGCCTTCGATTGGTAAAATCTACATTCGCTCTACACTATCCGTATTTCCTGTTTGGTACCTTCCCCGCTTGTTTTGTTTATATGACCGCCATTGTGGAAAACGACCTGTGAAGATGGAGCAGCTAGAAGAGCGATTTGCACCAGAACGCTGGGACCCTTTTTCCACCTTGATCCCCGCTCGTTTTCGCCCTCATGTCCCTCCATTGTCGTACAAACCTGTCCCCACTTCCTCACCGCCTTGGCCAGATCTAGACCGATAGCTAGTTTGTGATTGTCTCTCTTGCCCTTTGCCGTGGAATAACAGCACACGCCTCAATATTGGCCATAAATCAAAAATATCTGCGACAAGCTCACTACGACACACTGCTGCAGGAGGATAACCAGCCCTTTAGTCTAATGCAGACAAGTTTGTCTGAATGCACAGGTTAGTAAAGTAAAAGGCAACATTTAAAATAATAAATCCCTTCACACATAAGAATATTCACATGGCTGTTGTCCCTTTTAACTGCTAAAGGTGCTACTATCACTCTCTGTCGGGTTTCAGGAGGACTCTGAAACAGGAAGTACAGCTATCTAAATTTCTGAGCATTACTCTGCCGACATCTAATGTTTTAAAAAAGAGCCAAATCGAGGGGGAGCCCAGCAGACCATACATGTACAGACTGGGTGTGATCTGGTAATATAAATGCATGTTAATTAAACTAACTGAAAGTTAAGGCAATATATCAATAAGCTGAAACTACTACTGACGTCAGTTTTTACGGGTAAGGTCACAGTATCTTTAAAGCTACCGATTTGTACCTGAGGAAGGTGCCCACTGTACATCCCAGCATGCACTGCTTTCTATGACTTATGAGGCGCGCATGTTTTTTGCTTTTTTTCTGGGCCATAATCTCACTAACACTAATCATGGAATGCCTAGCAGGGTGCATGTATCACAACTGGGATTTTTGCACAACAGTAAATGTCTGATATGTCCTCTTTATTAAATGTATTAAGTGTGTAATTGACTTTTGAGTTATTAACACCTTTTACTAGAGTTGGGCTTTCACACTCTGTGCCAACAGTAGCTTTACAAGTAAAATTGGGATGCAAGCTATTGATTAATAAATAAATCTAAAGTTGAGCAAACTTAACCAAGAATTTATTGCTAGGCAGCTGCTTTTCCTATAAACTACAGTTTTTTATCAAAAAGATGTTTTTATAACATGAGGGCTAAATATTGTTTTGTATTTCCTCAATTAAAAAAAGCGCACAAAATTAGATTTGAACTATTTATTGTTTGAGCTGTAATAAATACTAACTAAATACACAAAAATATGTGTTTTCTTATACATTATTAAACTTATTTGTAAGACAAAAACAGAAACCTATTGGAATAGGTTACTGAATAAAAACAAAGATTAATGGAACATGTGAAAGAGAGATGTAAAATTATCATTAAAAGAAACGGTACTGTATGTCACTCTTACACGCTCTCAGAGTTCTATTTGTTGTTTTGGTTGTAAGAAAGTGGACGCTTTAACTTACAAAAGCCCTCCTATCTATGATGATTATTGTCAGCATGTCTTTTTCTATCATTTTAAAAACATGTTGCATTAATGCTGTGCGTTTCTTCTATCACCACATCCTCACCTTCCAAGCACAGCAGAAAAGTCAAAGCAGCACGGCTAAATGAGTGCCATTTAGGTAACTTAAACGTTTATATTTATATACATAACCACATAAAGTGCATTCTGCATCCTTGCTTCCAGACTTTATTCAGAATGTAACATGGCAGAGTTGTTTAAGTTTCCTTCTTTAAAGTTTCCTTTAACAACTGCAGAAGTAGTTCTACATCCACCTGTACTGTAAAAACAAACAGATGCAGAAATACAGGGAATCTTGTGATCACTCATTATGGTCTCGATCTGGTTCTGTGACCATGATTCTGTTATGTCTGTCTGAGGGAAATGAGCAGCAGGACAAAATGAACAACCTTTAAAGTTGTGTGCTGCAGCTTCATCCTCCACAAACAGATCAGGTCGAAACTAGATGATAACATCATTTAGATGGATGCGGATCAGATAAACAGTCGCATAAACCGACCATCTGATTTAACATGAATCCGATAACAACCTTCCAATTGGTGCGTTCAGATGATGCATCTTTATTCTGCTAGCCTCAGGAATATTCAGGTACATTTAAAAATAGCTTGTTAGCCACTAGGTTTTATCGGGGGGCATAAAATAAAAAAGTGTTTTGTGTCTTAATATCACAAACATCCTTTGGCTACAACGGTGAGCTTTGGGCCGGTGAGACTGAAATAGAACTTTCCAGAAACATAGACTTATAGTGAGTTTTGAGTGAGACAGAGGTTCTCCGTTATCTCCCCTTAAAAAATGTAAAACCCTTTTTTAACTTCATGCATTGCAACCATCAATCAGAAGGTTACCTAGTTTTTTTTTTTTTTTACATTTTCATACCAGTTAAACTATTTAATATTAACAGTAGAAAATGTTTTAATCATGTCGTATCCTTGCAGTCAAATCAAAAGATAAAACAAACAGTAGATGGTGCTGTTGTCCCAAATAGCAGGGTTTGTCTATATTAACTGTACAGAGCGCTTGGGATTAAAACCCCTCAAGACAAAAGATGCACACTCTTAAACAGAGTAGTAAACCTATAATGCTGTGGGCTCTCTGTGCTTCCTGCTGCTCTGAAGACCCTGTTTGAGTCTTCGGCATAATTAACTCTTTAAAGGAACAGAAGGTTTAAAATAAGATGCAGTGGCCTCTAAGATGTAAATGAAGTGTTTTTTTTCTTTGCAGCAGTGTAATAATCTAAAACATATGGGGGCAAAAATACTCAGAAACACACAATTTGTTTTCATCCATGGACATCTCAATCCCCAGGCAGAATTTCTCTGTATATTTCTTAAGAGTGAAATGTTATAGAAACAGACTACGTGTGGCCTCACTCAAAAAAGTGGGTACCTTAAAGTTTTAAAAGCAGGTTGTTTGTTCCACTAGACATATTTCTAAACAGGCGTAGGGTTTCCTTTTTTCACTGCGAGAAAAATGAATGTACCTTTTATCTATTAATTGATTTCTACTTTGTGTTGGTCTTTTACTTAAAACCCAGATAAAACACATTACAGGTGGCATTTGTAAAAGAGCAAAAAGTTCAAAGATATGAATATTTCACAAATGAATGTATCTTACATCTGTTGCACCTCCATCTGGTCGCCGCGATAACAAGATCGGAGTATTTTCTGCTGGTCGGGGTCCCACAGGTGCTCCTTTAGGAAGCCGCCTGCTTGCACCGCTCTCTCCAGCAGCGCCTCGTCCCCCAGCACAGCTCCGACCCGAGCGAAGGCGGACAGCATCAAGCCTGAAAGGGCGGAAGCTTTAATGACTACCCTACTAAATAAGTGCAGCTCATGTTAAAACATCACGTTGCAGGCCAAGCTGCCTATGTGCAGACGCGCCAAAGTCCCAACATAGTTCATTTCCACCCCCCCTTTCTTTGAAGTTTTCCCTCATCCTTCGCTACATCCTTTCCCTCTATCGCTTCACACCTCTTTCATGTGCTGTATCAAAGCCAAATGGTGCACAGCCTGGATTTCAAAGTGCTGTGGCAGAGGACAGGTGATTAATGGAGGAGTTTGTTCATTAGAGAGGAGAGAAGAGACTTGGGACTAATTGGAAAGTTCTTGGGATCGCAGAGCCTCATTACCTCACTAACTTACTGTCAGGAGACATCAGCTAAACAGCCAGAACTTGTGGCTCAGGACAAGTGTTTATCTATGGATGTGCTTAGTAAAGAACATTTTAGGTAATGGGGAAAAAAGGGAAAGAGGCGCTAAAGTCAACACCATGTTATGGAAACTGGCAAGATGAAACTTTCCGGTTTGCCCAATGTCGTCCCCACACCATAAGTAATTTATTTTACTGGAACTTTATCTGACAGGCAGACAAATCTATAATGTATGGGATGGATTTCTATTCATCTGTCTCTAGTTGATACCTTTTAATAAAACCAGTAACTGCAACTGACTTAAAAATTCACCTATTTACTGAACAGAATCCACCTTAGGAATCATTTGAATAATTCTGTGGTTGATGTGTGATAGACATTATTACAGAGTCCTCACTAGGAGTTTTCATGGGGGTCAGGGGGAGGCATTTTTTATCCTTATGCTACCTGCTTTCTTCCTCTTTGCTAACTAAGCCTGCTTTTTTCTTTCTTTCAGTCTTCTCTGCTATTCATATGCAAACTATAAGACCGCCCTGGAGAAGTTGCTCTGATCCAACTGCAGCCACAGTAAGGCTGAGTTTTATTGGATAAAAACAAAAGAAACTCTGACCATTGGTCAGTTTGGCTCCATCAAAGCTGCTATCTCTCTCTGCTGGTGGGATGTTACCACATGTGCACTCAGGCTACGTTCAGACTGCACGCAGCAGAATCAGCTAAAATACATGTGCTGCTTCATTTTTTATGTTTGTACAGGTTTAGTTCTGATGTGAGGCTGAAGCATCTTTGCTGCTATAGCTGCATGGTTGAAAAGTTGGTCTGATGCGCGTTGGGTGGAACTACCCAATCCTTTCTTTGCCTCTAACAATGGCAGCTATATTTGCTGTGATCAGTGAGTAAAAAGTAGTTTTCATATGTTTTTAAGTGAGAAAGTCCACCTGAAAACATGTAGTCAGTTCCTCCAGATTACCATTCTGCCTTCAAATATTATTTCGCTGTCAGAGCCTCTCAGAGCCCCGGTACACCGGCAGTACTTTGTCACTGGGAATCCTGTTAAATGGCAGCCTCTGGCCTGGGCGCCTCTTCGTGGTTTTCCGCTGCTGTTTGCAGTTTTCATGGACGTAATCCAAACTGCAGACACCAGAATAATCAAATTGGACATATTTTTTCGGAAGGTTTCAACATTTTTAATTAATTTATGTGTACATAAATTGTTTCAGAGGAGTGATCTGCAACAGCAACACTGTTTCTGTCTCCCTGCCAGCTCCCAGATCAGCTTCTCTGATTGGTTGATCTGGCGGGTCGAGAGGCAAAAGTTTATTTTTTCCAACTCCAGCAGCTGCAGCTTCTGAAGTGCATCAGCTGCGGCTCAAAACGCGCTGCAGGACCTTTTGCTGTGCGTCAACCATTGACTTAGCATGTAAACAAGCTGCTTCTGCAAAATGTGGTCTGAACGTAGCATCAGAGTTTGAGTCCAAAAGGAGCAGGGCTCCCATTTCCATGGTACTTTTCTATAAGTGCAAATTATCAGGTACATGGGTTTAAAAGCAGAGTTACACTCATTAGAAGCCAGTGCCTCCTTTCACTTTAACTTTTAACACATACAGCGTCACCAGTGTCTGCATAGAACCGTATGGGAGGGAGCCCAGATGTCAATCAAAGGGCCACTAAGCTCATAAAAAAATTAGCATAATGGCCTGAAGTTCAGCTGCAATATGCTGCTGAGAACCCTGCATTACTGAACAAACCGAAGAAAGATGTGGAGTTCTAAGGAGGCTGTCCCTCTGAAAACTGACTGTGGGTTAGAACCCAACTTTAAACTCACCCAAACTTTTAATCTGAACAGGCTGACAATGGAGTCTAAACAAATTTAAGAGGTCAAATGTAACAGCTATCCACCCTGCACTGAATAGACAATTCTTATTGTTAAACACAGTGGTGGCAGCATCATGAATGGGAATACTTTCATTCAGCTCTAATCAGCATTGCATTCTGCTCTTCTTAGTTTTGTGTTTGTTATTTTAATAAAAGAGTTGAAAGAAGGACAGAAAAGGAAAGTGGTCTGGTTTACCACAGGTCATGGTGGCAGAAAAAAGTTCAAACAAGATGAGAAAACATTCCACTGTGGGCAGCAGACTAAGGTTACACATCCCCCTGAACGTATCTAGTGCATTATGACATTTGGTGGCAGTAGCAGGATGCTGCAGGTATGCCTCCGTTGGAAAGGAAGAAAGCAGTTGATGGGAAGATGGATGGAATTACATACAGGGCAGCAGAGGAACAAAGAATTATGTTACTGATTGCTTTTTGCCCAATCTGAAAGAGTTTGGGAAATTTTACAAATAAAGAGCAAAAACAAATCCAATATCCCAGAATGCCTTTAGATATAAGTTGAATTCAATGTTATTTGACGAAATGTCAACTCACTGGAGGAAAACAATAGTTTTAAGACATTTCAGATTTAATAAAGAAAAAAAAACTGAAAAGAAAAAAATATTTCTCTGTTTTAAATCTGAGCATTAATTTGTTTTGGTATAATAAAATCCTAATCAAATAACCTGATTTTAGTTATTATAATATGGCAAAAATAGTATCAGAATCCATCTGTGGATTGATATGCCTGGTGAATTGGACTGTACCATTCCAGGAAGCCAGCATCTTGGTGTCGAGATGGGGACGCGGGCGAACATTCCTCACTTCAGCCATTCTGGCTCTGGCTGAGGTCATGAGTTCATTGACCTTTTCCACAGTGATGCCAAAGTGAGCAGCTGTTAGCTCAACGGAATAGCGAACGATCAGCACATTCTTCCCCTGCAGCTCTCCGTGTGGGTCCTGGTAACAGAGAACACAGAGTCTTCACAGGAACTGAGCCTCAGTACCTGTAGCAGAGGACGCTTCGTTCAGCCTTCCAGCTTCGCCTGATTTAGCTCACAGTTGAACAGAAGCAGCTACGGCCATAATAAACTAAAAATGAAACCAGACCTGCTCAGGTGCAACGTTCCCTTGCTCCTTGACTCCATAATGGTGCATAAAGATGTCTGCAAGCGTGGCAGCTCCAACCGCGCCCTCTACTACATCTGGTAAGAGCTCCCTGACTTCTGAGGCTGTCCACACACAGAAAGCCCCCTCTCGTTTTTCTTTTCCCCCTGATGCAGGGATTGAGTCAGCATCTTCTGCACTGTAGAAGCCTCCAGACTGGAAAACGGATTAAAAAAAATGTTAATACAGTGGGGTTTTTTTAGAAGCAGGCCTGGTAAGATGTGTTAAAATTGTGTAAAATATATTCATTCTTTGTTGCAGTCGAATATCTAAGCTGAAGTCTGAAAGAAACTGATCCTGTGACCTTGAGAACATTTAGTCAGTGGGGGCAGAAAGCTCTTCTCTAACATTTAAAGTCGTAGCGAATCGGCTGTTCCAACCGTTGCATTTCCGAATTATCCCGAGTGGTGAACAACTTAACACGAGTGGATAAAGTGAATGTGATTGGTCGTTTATCAAAGGGGAGGGATTGTTGTGGCAAAAGGTTCGAAAGCATGTTTGATTGTGGCCAGTTTCTCTGAAGCATCTTGCTAACCAGTTAGCAACTTAGTGCTAATAGGTTCCAAAATGGGAAATGACATTGGGACCAAGTGGCACTAAATTGGTGACTTAGAAACGACACTGTCAAGAAACGCTATGGACAGCAGAAACGTGCAAGAGGAGGAGAGTTTTGTGTCGGAGGTCATGGAGGAGTCTCCTCCCTGATATTTTTTTTATTTAGAGGAGGAAAGCGGGGATGAAGATGTTGTGGAAGAGGACGCCAGGGCGGCAGAAGCTTGGTTTGGTGTAGAAGGCTTACAGCCGTACATGTTTGAGCCCTCGCCTCGCAACGCTGCCAGTTCTGTTAGCTCTTTTGTATGTTTTGTCTAGGCAAGGCAAGGCAAATTTATTTGTATAGCACAATTCAGTACAAAGACAATGCAAAGTGCTTTACATGATTAAAATACAGGAAGATAAAACAGAATCAAAGCAAGTAGGAAAAAAATAAAACAATAAATAAAGTAAAAACTGCAGAAACAAAAAAGAATATTAAAAACAGTTGGATTAAAGAAAATATGTTTTAGTTGAACTGTTTCACTAGAGCAGTCGAAGGCAATCCTAAACAAATGTGTTTTTAGTCTTGATTTAAAGGAACTCAGGCTTTCCGCACTTTTACAGTTTTCTGGAAGTTTGTTCCAGATAAGTGGAGCATAGGAACTAAATGCTGCTTCTCCATGTTTAGTTCTGGTTCTAGGTATGCAGAGCAGGCTGGAGCCAGAAGACCTGAGTGGTCTGGAGGGTTGATACACTGATAGCAAGTCTGTGATGCATTTAGGTGCTAAGCCATTCAGAGATTTATAGACTAACAGAAGTTTTTTAAAGTCTATTCCCTGAGATACAGGGAAATTAGGTGATTTATTTTTGTCAGATATCATAGCTTGTTGTAGCATTTTGCCTAAATAAAAAAATAAACAGCCAATCCATTTGATCGGCAGAGATCAGCCCTAATGGGTGATTGGTATCGGCATCTCTAGTAAGATTAAGATCTTATATATGCTTCAAACAGGATTGCTCATAAATGTTTCCATTATCACACTACACCAAAACTTGCTGACATTTTGAGATGTAAACATATGCAAACAGTTAGTTCTGAAGCTGTATCTGCTCACCTCCTGGGCCTTATTTACATTTCTAAAAGGTCTTTCTTGGTACTTGTTTACTCTTAAGCATTTTTTTTTGTTTTTTTACTGCTTTGATCAATGCATTTAGACATTCACCTGGACTGAGTTACAGCCCCCTTTTTTTTCTTAACTTGCTTGCTGAGTTTAATACTAATGAAGCCGAGAGCAGTCGTGCTCCTACTTTTTGTTTTACAATGGTTTTCTCCAGATAACAAGTTAATTCTATCACTATAACGAAAGCCTTTTTTCTCGTGATAACAGAATGATTCATCTCGAGAAAATAAACCTTGCTTTCTCGAGATCATGAGATGATTGATTTGTAAGTTAAACTGATTAGGCCTACAGCCTCCATCCTTCAATACCACAACAGCAGGAGGGGATTTATAAGGGTAAGTAATGTGTAATTCTGTAAATAATCCTATTTATAGCCTTAGGCAGTTGGTTAGGTGATTTGATTCAAAGACCATTCAGATCTGGTCATCGGGGGCTTCAGCACCAGGTTTTTTTCTAAACAGGTGTAACACCTGTAACAGGTATAAGATGCGATGCATTAACAATTAAACCCAACAAATGACATCCAACTCAAGATTTTCAATAGAAACAGTAAGAACACTGAGAGTGGACAGAAATAAAATTATGTCATGATAATTATCTCATTATCCCGAGAAAACAATAACTGTTTTCACATCATAACCAGATAAGTATCCTTTTATCTCGAAAAACAATTAATGGTTTAACTATGATAAAGAGATAGTTAGATCTTTATCTCCAGAAAATAATTAAAAAATAAAATTTAAATATGACTGTTCCTGGCTTCGGTAAAATACAACACCTTACAGAAGTATTTTCATGCCATTAACATTTTCAATTCAATTCAGTTTATTTATATAGCGCCAATTCACAACACGTCATCTCAAGGCACTTTGCAATTTAACCAGATCATGCAGTCAAGTGGATTTAAAGTTTTCTATCTAAGGAAAACCAGTTGATTGCATCGACTCGAATGCAATCCCTCACACCAAGCATGCTTGTAGCGACAGTGGAGAGGAAAAACTCCCTTTTAAAAGGAAGAAACCTCCAGCAGAACCAGGCTTAACGTGAGAGGCCATCTGCTGAGGCCTACTGGGGTTCAAGGAGACAGAAGCAGAGATACAAAAGGCAACTGTCAACCAGCGACACAGGTGGCCCTGTCCAGGAAACACACAGCCAGGCAGACGAGATCCGAGCCAGCTCTCATGTCAGAGGATGGGGAGCACATCCAGCCAGTCACAGTTAGAGAAACAGGACTACATTTTCAAACGTTGTGATTCTACAACCTTTACTTCTTTTTACATAAAACCTATAAATACAAACATTAGAATTTGTATTTAGGTGGTTTCTGAATTTCGTGTGAGAGACAAACACTTTGTGCCTGTCTCTCACACAAAATTCCATATACATTAACATAATGTATATGGAAACGTTCAAGGGGTGTGAATACTTCTGCAAGGTATTCTATGTTTGAGCACTGAGAATACAAAACTCTTAATCTAAGCTGAGGGCGCACAATAATTGCTGCTGTAATTGATGGTAATTTATTACAATAGGTCCATGAAAACCAGCTTATTTTAACAGAGATTTCTAGCGTTGATATAAGAGCTCAGGGATTCTGCCTCGTTGAGGGAAGCCCAAAACAAAGCAAGTAATATAGAGAGGGGACAGAAAATTACCCCGGGCATCGTTATTCATTAGAATATAATTGTTTGATAAATCACAAAGAATTTAACAATAACAGTATGGTTCTAATTGTGTGTTCATTTCACTGCCGGCCCTCGTTAATCAAAGTGGAGAAAAATTGACCTATACAAGAGAGAGAGGCTTAAACACGCCTTTTGTCAGCAAGGCACCACTGTTGCCCCAAGGGATGTATGAAAACACTAGCGGTTCTCAAGAACAAACAAGTAGCAGTCGAGCTGTCGATGATTCACCTTGTCACTCAGGTCCCTGGAGACATAGAGCAGTATGTCCTTGGCCACGTCTGAATAGAACTGCTCACCTGATACCTGGAAAGGAATAGAAACACCTGCATAAGGGCTATGATTCAACCTTTACAGTATCATCATTTATCAACAGGGTGTTCCCTATAGAACCCTAGAAGAGCGCTCGGGCAACTTCTATATCATCATTAACCACAGGAGGTATCCCTGCTCCATTTTACCTTGTGTATGTTGGTCTTTTTTATTTAGTTCTTGTACATACACAAAAAATAAAAATAAAAGGTCAGTGCATTACACACTTAGGAAGAACTCAAAAACAAACTCTAGGACTAAGGTTCCACTAGTTTTAACCTGATCAAAGAGAAACAAATTAAAACCAACCATAATTGTTAAAGATCAAACTAGGGCCGAAACAATTTATGCGATTAATCAATTATTGAAATTGAGTCTTACAGTAAATGGCCAAGCTCCATCTGATATCAGAGATCTGATTGTTCCTTATGTTCCTAACAGAGCACTTCGCTCTCAATCTGCAAGTTTACTAGTGGTTCCTAGAATTTCTAAAAATAGAATGGGAGGCAGATCTTTTAGTTATCAGGCTCCTCTCCTGTGGAACCAATTACCAGTTTTAGTCCGTGAGGCAGACATCCTGTCTACTTTTAAGACTAGGCTTAAAACTTTCCTTTTTGAAAAAGCTTAGTTAGAGTGGCTCAGGTTATCCTGAGCTATCTATATAGTTATGCTGCTATAGGCTTAGAGTTCTGGAGGAGATAGGGACCCCTATTTCATCATTCTATTTCTATTCTTCAACTCTGCAGAATCTGTTGGTTCAGTCTCTAACGCTATGCTCTCTCTGCCTTTTTCTCATAGTAGCTTCGCCTTGTTTATTCCTGTTAGGCTTTGACGCCATCCTGGAGAGAAATATCAGGTGTGCTGCTACCATCAGCCCCTTTGTTTATAGATCTTTGAGATTGGCCTGTTCTTCAATAGATTCCTGTTTCTCTGACTGTGACTGGCTGGATGTGCTCTCTTCATCCTTTGACATGGGAGCTGGCTCTGAGCTCGTCTGCCTGCCTGTGTGTTTTCTGGTCTGGGCCGCCTTTTACAGCTGCTTTTTGTATCTCTGCTTCTGTCCTTGAACCCCAGTGGGCCTCAGCAGATGGCCGCTCACACTGAGCCTGGTTCTGCTAGAGGTTCCTTCCGATATAAAAGGGAGTTTTTCCTCTCCACTGTTGCTACAAGCATGCTTAGTGTGAGGGATTGTATTTGAGTCAATGAGTCGAGGCAATCAACTAGTTTTCCTTAGACAGAAAACTTTACATCAATTTGACTGTATGATCTGGTGAACTGTAAAGTGCCTTGAGATGACCTGTGTTGTAAATTGGCGCTATATAAATAAATTGAATTGAAATTATCATCAACTAATTTAGTAATCTGTGAATTATTATCTGGAGTAAAATGCCTTTAGCTGACAGAGCGACCCACCTTGACCAGCAATTATAGCATAATTGTTAAAAAAATATGTAAAAATTTTGCATTTAAGATAAAAAATCTTTTTTCGTCTATCAATCTGCTCTATCCAGAACTCCTCAAGTGGAAATGTTTGAGTTTCACCTGGTTTAATTTCGCAAAAACTCTTCTTTAAGGAAGCTTTTGCTATCCGATTAATAATCAGAAAAAAATTTGACAGATTAAACAATTTGCAAAATAATCGTTAATTGCAGCCCTAGAAACTAAACTCTCCCAAGTCTCACACTGAGGGTTTTGGCTGGCTGACTTAAGTCCCAAGTAGCAAAGATAACATTAGATAATACTGTCAACTCTTGACTTTCCTCAACACTGTGTCTAAAGTGGATCACTACAGATTCTAAGGATCAAGCGCTTCTCAAGATCCAAGGCGGTCCTTAGAAACAGACACTTTGGAAGAAGCAACTCAACAACTACAACTTCCTCAGTGTCAACGAGGCCATTATTAAAACCAATCATTAAATCTTGAAAGATCTTACATCTGTGGCGCACATGTAGGAATCATACCCATATATTTTGGAGCTGTACAATTAATAGTGAAATTGTTTTTTATACGAGTCTCCTAAAATGTTATTGAAATGCATCCAGAGTTCTCGTCAGGCAGGCAGCCACATGTAAAAACTGTCACCACTGCGCTGAAATTAGGCCAATGCTCTATTTCATGAGCATATTAGCCCTTCTAATGACATCTGCGTTCCCTCCTCAGGGTTCTGTTCAGTGCATTTCAACACAACCGCCGGTTACACTGAAAGTTGTCAAAAAGACATTAAAATCAGGCGGATACAATGAATTTTAATGGGACTAATGGCTGCAGAAACTATGTTTGGTGTAGCTGCTTTACTATGGCAATAGGATAATTGTTGTCTCACTATGTGTATTTGTTTGTTGAAGTGTCTTTAGCATATGTGATTTGTCGTATATGTTTCATCTTTCTCTTTTATTTTCGCTTTTTGTGAAGTGAGCAGTTTTACTCAAACCTCTTAGATTACCGTCTGGAAGGCTTCATAACTTTTCATAACATGCACCCGTTTCTCTGAGCTTTGAAAACAGGACAAAAATACAGTTAAACTAAAAAATAAAAAAAAAGTACAGGCTCAAAATGAAATGAATAATCTTGTCTGTAGAGACGTGAGGCGAACCTACCCTAACCTTCATCTACGGAGCTCTACAGGAATAACTGCTAGATGAAGTTGGAGCCATCAATGGATCTGCACATCATGATCATGGTCTTCTAGGATGTTCACCTTTGGGTCTGTGCTATGGGTGCAACAAGCATGCGCGTTGGCCTAGTGGTTAGAGCAGTGCGCTGAGAAGGTTGCGATCCCCACAGCCCCCGGGTGTCGCACAGTGGCAGCAAACGGCTCCACCAGGGGATGGGTTAAATGATATAAATGATATATTTCTCCAGTTTGAGATCAATAAAGTTTAATTATATTATTGTTATTATTATTATAGGCGAAAACAAGCTGTCAATCAAGTCATCTCTCTGGTGAATACCATGAATGGAGTCAGCTATTCAAATTACACAACTCCCCCAAAAATACCTACATTTACACATACATGTATACTGTATGTACATTCCTTGCTTGTACACAAAGCTGACCATTAGACCTGACTCTAAGGGGAAAGGAGAGACATGGACCTGAAAAGCTGTTATGTAAGCCACAGCCAGCTGAGCCTGGTCATACAGCATCTTCTCAAAGTGAGGAACGTGCCACGAGGAGTCCGTAGAGTAACGATGAAAACCCTGAAAACAGTCACAGGAAAATAACTTTAAACAAGAATCATTGGTTTATGATTTAGTAAGAAAGGCTCCAGAAGTGGAAATTCAAAAGAAAACAGCAAATATCAAACTCTATTAGCACTTTAATTGCAACAGTCCTCTGGTCTGTTGACACTTTTACACTACCCTTGAAAAACCGATCCATGCCGAGACCGGTCCAGCTTGGATCAGTTAACCAGGTCGAGCTCGGTTCTGACGACCGTTTACACATCCCGCTATCTCGGTTCCTCGACTCCTCGCCTCCTAGTGACGATCTGCGGTATTACTCCCAGTATTGAAAGAGGAAATCAAGCAGTTGGTGGTAGGGGTGTAAATAATCGTTTTGTATCAATGCATCGATCCAACAGCCAACGATCCGATGCGTCGATACGTCTACAAGAGAATCGATTCGTGTTTTTTTTTTTTTCTCTGGTCTATTTTTATCCATTTGCTCCTGGGCATAATTCTCCCCCCGTGCTGCAGTGGCGCTAAACCTATTTTGCTGTCAGTTACAATTTGGGAGAGGAGCAGCAGGGCGCCTGTGGAGGGGGCGGGGACATCTGGAGCCAAGGTATTGCATTGCACTCATTGCACTGATTATGTATTTTTGCAGTATTTTTTGATGCAACTTTTCTACTTCTTTTATTTGCTGTTTCTAAAAAAAAAATGCATAACGATATTACAGCTTTCACTGATTTATTTCAAACTTGAAACTTTGTTTAGCCTGTAAGGTGTAAAAAAAAAAAAAAAAAAAAAAATTTAACCGATTAATCGAATCGAATTGTGGTGTATTCTTGAGTATTGAAAATAATCGAATCGTTGGGTCAGGAAATCAAAACTAAATCGAATCACCATGATGGATGTGATTTACACCCCTAGTTGGTGGTTGTAATGCACCAAAAGTTGTTTGTCAAGCGCCATAAAATGCAAGAAAAAGAAGACGACGGAGGGAATCAAGCAAATCAAAATGGCGACGCCCGTCACATTCAGAAAGTTATGCTTGATTATTATTGCTGTACTTCGGTGTTTGCGGAGGGTCAGGCGTGGAGAAAATGTCGTGTGGAGAAGATTTCGATTGTTCTTCTTCTGTTTTGTGTTGGTTGGCAAGCAACTTCCGGAGGGGCATTACCGCCAACTACTGGAATGGAGTGTGAATCGGGATGTGCAGCCAGACGGAGATGACGCGTTCTGCTCATGCGCTCTTGTTATCAGAGAACCGAGTCAGGGAAAAACCGAGCCGAGCCCACCTCTGGAAATGGTCTGCAGTTAGCTCGGTCCGGTTGTGTCTAGCTCAGTTCAGTTTGCTTTCCATTTACACACGATAAGTTATCTCAGTTAGTGAGCTCAGACCGGTCTCAGCACGGTTTTACAAGGGTATGTAAATGGGGTATTAGACTGAGAGATTCATGAAAGGTTTCCTGTTAAGCAGAGGAAGGTGTGTGGAAAAGCATCTGAAGCTCAGACATAGCGCACGGATCGATGATGCTCTTCACCCTTTTCCCTCTTTCTTTATTAAAGAACCAAAATTTCTGACACACAAACTACTGAAAACAGGCAAAGTTTAGTTTCAATGGAAAATTCATTCAGTTAAGATTTTTGTTAATAACCCGACTAGATTGTGAAAAGACTATAATATGACCAATGATTTATACAAATTAGTTTTATGTTTCTGAAAGCAGAGGAAATATTGCTTCTAAAACGACTGAAACGCCTGTTTCCTATAAGGCTTGTAAGTACTTTTGATGTTAAAACGGCAAACTTTTCAGACTATGTTTCAGACGATGTTTACTCCTATTTCAAGAAAAAAGGTAGAAAGGAAAAACTAATGGAGGGATAAAGGGACACAAGGAAGTAAAGAGGTAAGGAAGGAGGACACAAGAATGAAGGAATGAAATAGAGGAAAGGGGGAGGAAAGGACATAGGGAGGAATTAAAAAAGACACAAGGGGAAAGAAAGACACTGGGGGAGGGAGGAAGAATGGAAATAAGACAGGTGGGAGGAAAGAAGAGGAAGCAAGAAAGAAATGAGGGAAGGAAAGAGGACAGGAATGAAGAAAGGAGAAAAGGCAGGGAAGGAGGGAGGAGAAAAATGAAGGAAGGTCAGAGGGATGGGATGAAACAATGATGGATTCAATGAAGAAAAAAGAAAAGAAGAACCACAGACAGGAATAAACGAAAGAAAGAAGCCTAAAAAATAATGATGGAAGGCAAGGCAGGATGGGACAGAAGGAAGGGAATACACTAAACCCTAAGGGCTCAAGGAAGGAAAGAAACAAGAGCTCAGGGAAGGAAAGGTCAGAGGACATGAGAATTTGGTTGGGTTATTTACATTGTTCAAGGCCTTAATTATTCATCTCACATAGATTGTACCATAACCTGGTGATTTATTTATCCTGTATGGTGATCAGATTAGATAATATGATAAAGTTGGAAAGAATGACTTCATTTCTTTTATAGATTGAACTTAAATCAAAAGGTCTTTGAAAGGAAGATTCAAATCCTGTCAAAATAACATGGATCAGTAGTTGATGCACAGAGCCTTAAGGTGTTTTTTCTTATCAATCAGTCGTAAAAAGAAATATTCCTAAAACTTACTATTTGAAAACTTACTAATCATTATAAAAATTCCAGAAAAAAATACCCTTTTAACTACTTGATTGTTTTAAAGTTTTTTCAGTGTTTTCCACTTTCTTTTTTGTAAAGCATTTACAGCAAAAACTCGACTAATCTTATTAATAAAACCCTTATCTTGCATTAAAATTTATGTAAAATTGTATATTTGACAGACTCTCTACTATATACGCATACTGGATGCGGACCTGTGCGACGTGGTCGTGGATGCCTCCCAGCGCCATCATTCGGAGCGTGTGCATGACCATCTGGAGCGCCTCCACCCCCTCTGAGGTGCAGCGGTTCACCGACCAATACGATATGAGGAACATCAGATTCACTGCGGAGGCACGGAAAGAACAAACCACATGAGGTGCTGTTCATCTGCGAAGCAGCTCTGATCGATGGTCCAACCAGAGCAGCGGTTGGAGCTATGGTACTTGGAAAAATGTCGCCTTCTCAACGGGTTTTACTGATGTTTGAATCTTTATATTTAAAATGAAAAAGCTTTAAATGACATAGGAGCTGTTGTGACTGAGTATTTCTCTTTTATTTTCTTTAGCTTGTAGTTAGGATAAAAACATGAAAGGAAAGTTGTTGCATCTCAAACACAAGCTGATGACCACTCTGGATCCTAGGGAGTCTACCTGGGGAGGGGAACTTTGGAGCGTCTCTAAAACCTCCGTACTCTTCCTCGTAGGAATGGGCCAGCTGCTGGAAGCATCGATTCGCAACATCAGGGGCCAGAGGAGGGCTTTCTCCTGGGTTCGCACTCAGAGTCGTGCCTTTCTTTAGAGCCTCCATGATCCTCTCCCCACTGGACTCTAAAGCTGCTCGGTTGCTCTGCCACTGAGGAGAGAAAGAAAACTTTTGTTATATTTAGAGCCTCTAAATATTTATATTAACAAAACAATCATAGCCGCCCTAAATGCTCAATGCTCTAGTTAGACAAAAGTTCCTCTCACTACCTTAAACACTGAAGAACAGCTGTGAAGGTTGTCGGATTATAGTTAATGAAAACAATTACAGACAGTTTAAAAAAAAAAATGTTTTATATAAACCCTAAAAGCTAGCTTGTTATGAGAACGATTATTTTTCCCTAATAATATAACCAACACCTCTCCCTTATAAACCCTGTAGCCTTTGTGAAAATAGGAAGCTAAGGCAGAGGCATTTCTTGCAAGAAATGAGGTTCACATTTATTTAACCCACCCCCTGCATAAAGAGCTTTCTCACACTTGAACATTCAAGCAAAACTTGAGTCAATCAAAGTCATTCCCTGTTAGGTTCATATATCTTTCACTGGCCAGATGGATCATTTCAAAACAACGGTCCTCCCCTCCACGCCATGAAGGAGGCTGTGTGACTTTCGTTTGGAGCCCGTGAGGCTGAGAACAGACATATCTCAACATTTTCTACTCCACACCTTGCACCTCTGAGACCTGAATTAATGTTTTTATACAAGTTAATGTAAAATCAGCACTCAGAAATAAATATATGTAAAAGGAAATTACTGTAATAGGAGATTGATTTCCCCCCCCCACACTCTTCACAGCAGCCACCCATCTCGCTCGCCTTTCTGGGTCTTTAGGGAAGCGATTAAATGAGACGCCATCTTTACTTCCTTGTCGGTTGGTAAACCCATACGCTGAGCAGGAGAGGGTCATGTTTTTGTTGCTGTTTTCAAAGTAATATGGAGGAAAACTGCTGGTGTTGTTCTATGTATGCAAGGTTTTTCCTCCCAAGAGGAGTCGTCATTGTGGGTGTGATGTGATTGGCATCCTTGGGCATCCTTAATAAAAGTTTCGCCAAACAGCCTGACTCTTCTAAACCGCAGGTATTCAACAGGGGGTCAACGGTTGGTTGATGAGACTTTTTTTTTTAAATTCCCGCTGCAATAATTGAAACGTCTTTAAACACACATTAAAGGGGAACACCGTTTTTTTTTTACATTGGGCCCTTGATTTTACGTTATTACATCATGTTCTACTCACCCATATTAGTTTTGTGTTATTTGGAGCCGTTCTGAAGATATTCTGTTAGGTTATATCCAAGTAACGTCTTCCTATGGGCAACGACTTGAAGGCACAAACTAAACTGTTCATAATTTATCATTTATGGTACGCCAGCATTCATAACATGTAGGCGAATCACTGTCCCCCAGACAACCGCGGTTATATTTTAACCCTACGACTTTAACCGTGTCAAACATTGTGGTTTGCGATGCAACGAGATGAAATTTGGAGAAGATAAATTATAAATATCAGTGGTTTACCACTTCACACTAAATTCCACAAACATAGCCTGCTTTCTGAAGTAATTTATCATCAACCTTAAGAGATCCTGGGTTTCATTTGGATCAATTTTTAGAAAAAGTTGTCACCTGTTCAATGATTCTCATCAAAACGGTCTTGAAGCCAGGTCTTCTTCCTTGGTCCCTGGGGGGAAAGTAAGTCCCTCCGATGAAAGGTCGAAGGTCAGGAGTTAACCACACACTCATGGGCCAGCCTCCACCTCCACTTGTTGCCTGAATGTAAAAATAAATCAAATAATTAAATCTTTCAAAAAAAAGCATTTGTGGAGAAACATTTTAAGTCATCAGCGATGAAAACAAACCTGTACAAAGGTCATGTAGACCTTGTCAACATCAGGCCTCTCTTCTCTGTCTAGTTTGATGCAGACAAAGTTGTTACTTAGGATGTTTCCAATCTCCTCATCCTCGAATGACTCCCTCTCCATAACGTGACACCAGTGGCACGTGGAATAGCCCACTGGAGGTCGGAGACAAACAATCATATAGAAATGTTGCGACAGGATTGACAGAAAAAGCTGCTAATTTTGAAACACACAAAGTGAAACATTTGGTCTCTAAAGAGTTTTCCATAGGTGGAAAGGCGGTGTTGAAGGTGTTGAATGTTGATTGTAATAGTTAGGTTTAACCTTCAAGGCTTGAACCACCTGAAAAAATATATATATTTTTAAACTAAACAAAATCCACTAACTAGAGTTTAAGCCTTTTTAGTTGAATCAAGCTTCTTACCAGATAAGAAGATGGGTTTGTCTTCCCTCTTTGCCTTTTCAAAAGCCTCCTGTCCCCATGGATACCTGCAAAACAAACATAGAACTTACCAATTTGATGCAAAGCATTAAGGTTAGGTTAAAAAGACTCGCCATCATCAGTAAGAAGGCGTTACTTCCTCTTATACTATATCCGTTGGTTGTGCTGTTCTTTTTACATCTCTTTGCAGGTGATGAAGCAGACTGAAGATGTTTTATTGTTATCTCCCTTTTATCTCCTCTTTCTTTCATCTTTTGTCCTTTTTTTTCTGTTTTTCCTTTCCTGTTCAACTTACATTGCAGTGTCCATATAATCTGTAATACTCCCTGCATAATTATAATAAAGCTATTTATATGAATAAATCAAGCAGAACACTATGATAGCCGTACTGCTCCACTAGTGAAAGTAAAATCTGTTGGGCTCTTTTTGGCAGAAAGACAATTATTCTTATTGCCAAATAGCCAGAAGAAATAAAAAATATATATAAATAAATAAAGAGACTCACCAGTCGACTGGGTTGTGGGCGTGCTGCAACAGGTAGGGCGATCGCTCTTGTGCCAGCCTGTTTGTGTGTTTGTGACCAGTGGATGTCGCCTGGTCTCCCCCTGACGCCATGCTGATGAACACAGACGGACTGTAAATTACAGGAAAAAACAGCCGACCAACAATCTGTAATATTATCTCTGCTTCAACACAAACGTCAGGAAGACCAGAACGTAAAAACAGCTAACTCGAGTCGTACTTTATTCCCTCCATCATGTAAACAAATGATCAACCAGGAGCCCCGTTTCTTCAACCAATTCTCCCTCTCCCAGTGACAGGTGAGGAGAGGAAGTTCATTTGTAATGGTTTGCCCTTGTACAAATATAGATTGGGTAAAAACACAGCCCAATTAGATTGTTGCTTTAACCAAAACATAGGTTGAATACATAACTTCCAACCTGATTAACACCAAAAACCTTGAAAAAACTATTATGTTTGAATAAAAATGACAAACACCTTTCATTTTGCTCATCATTGCCCAATTTGCACAAACACTTTCACTGTCTGCTTGAGCTTATTTCATTTAAATGAAAACTGTGTACCTTATTGTTCTCTTTCAAGACATTTTACCTGTACAGATAGGTTTATTAGGCTCAAAAAGAAAAAGAAAAAAAAAATTATATATATATATATATATATTTTCTTTTTTTCCCCCCTTTTTTTATACATATACATATATATATAGTGTGTAGTAAAATGAAATGGGCTCCATGTGGTTATTCTGTATCCTGGACAGCTGAACTCCATTGGGTAGCTTCAAACAGCCTGTATTAAAGTCTTGTGTTGATTTTAAAAAAGTTTAGTAATATTTATATTCAGATTTAATTGCAACCATTATACATATATAAATCTTGATCATTCTCATGAGCAACAAGAACCAGCCACACCAAAAATACATGTTTTATTGTCATTAAACATATAAATGACTGAAAAATGAGTTCTCAGGGCCAGCAAAAATAATCTGTCCTTTCATACAGTTAACACCTAGAAGGATTTTCACAATGCAAAACCTATTTTCTATTAATGTGTATATAGATACAGTTGTGTTTGTTTTGTTTTTTTTAAATAAGCCATTTTTATCTTGATGTAAAGTTTAAAGTTAATGTATATTTTACTTTTTCACATTCTGATCATTTTTCTTTGCAGTAATTTTACAATAAAAATTTAATTGAAAATGTAAATAACACTCTTGAGTGCATCTTTATAGCGGTTTTAATGTCTTTTCAATGTCTTTCATTAGGCTCCAAATTCCTGGCGGCACCCCTTCTGGAAATAATAGTAGTCTGACATGGTGGAAGTTTGAAATGGTCATTCTTGTAGCAGGATGGTTTTCATTCTTCCTTTTAACAGGAAGAAACCTCCAGCAGAACCAGGCTCAGTGTGAGCGGCCATCTGCCGAAGCCGACTGGGGTTCAAGGAGACAGAAGCAGAGATACAAAAAGCAACATTTAAAGTCAAGACTTTGAATGCATCTTTAAATGTCTTGAGATCCCCTCCTAAATTAGCTTCCAGGTGTGCTTTTAATCACTGTATAACCTCACTGCACCTGAGCTGGAGTTGAAAATGTTTCAGGATTAAGAACTGATTTTGTATTTTCCCTAAATTCGGCTGAAAAAAATGACACTATGGAACCATAAATATTGCACTTCCTAACATGTGAGTCAGTTACGTAGCGCAGACTCGACCTACTAATATAAACAATAACACAAGCTAAAGCGTGCTACTGAATATATGCATGGCGTTATAGCATTTTTAACCAAGCCGAATTTAAGGAGATTATATTTCAACTAATTTTATTTGTTTAGCAGTGCATAATGTTACGTAATTACGGTTTAGGCGATAGTTATTCTAAATACACAATTTTTTTAAATGGAGTTTTGCGTAGCCACTTGAAGCTGGCGATAACTCTCCACTGTAATAATGCAGAAAGGGGGAAAACATGACATTAACCACCCGTTACACATTAAATTTAGCGATATGTCGGTTTAAGGTTAGTTCTATAGGGTTCTCTCTTATTACCTGAGGTATCGGGCTGGCTGTGGTTGGAGGAGCCGCTGTGACCTGTCACTCGGTGGGTGGAGAATGCCTTTAAACCCCCCTGTAAGACCACCGGAGCTCCACCGTGGGCTGCCAGCTGCCAGGAAGGCCGCAGTCAGGGAACCTGCTGTCCTTGTAGTAAAGGTTTTAAACACCGACCGACGCCATACTTGTCTTAACATCCTAATCCACTTTGTGCATTACTTCCAGTAAGCGTGCTAATGCTAGCTGCTATTGATGTCCAGGCATGGAACAAACTGCATTACCATTATTTGACACCAGATGGCGCCACAGGCTAAATAATATGACCGATTGAGATGCGCAGCCTGGAATCTGATCTCAGCGTTTCCATTGAAAAATATAATAAAATGCACCGTTTTTGGCATATACTTAATCATATTTCGTTATTTCAACACAATTTTTCATGTTTACAGGGTAGGACATAAAACAGTTGTGTTAAAGTAACTAAATATTATTAAGTATATGCCAAAAGCGGATGCATAATGTTTTTTCAGTGTAGCATGTCCTGCAAGGTATTTGAATAGGATAATATATGAATTAGATTACTGATCTGTTTGTTACATTTTGTGTGCATGCATCGGTGCATGCGTTGAGCTCATAGAGCAAAACACTGTATGGGTTCGCTTGTCAAATCCGTCCACATGATGCATCTACTAAAAAAAAAAATCTCATCTTTTGCTATATAAAATGAAAACATCAAGAATTTTGGATAATAACCTAATTAATAACCTAATTTTGTATATAACCTACAATAACTTAAATTATGTCATTGTATTTGGTTATCAAATCAATTCAGTTTAGTCTATGAAATAAACTGCCTGTAGTGTCTTTAAATGTCCAGTAGGTGTCAGTATTCTGTATCAGTGCAGTTTGGCAATGTGTGGAAACGCTTCCAAGATGCCTCATTAACGCATCACTATCTTAGGGCCTCACCCATTGGGAGTGAGACTCACCCATCTCAGTGTCTTCACACACTCTCAATCCATATTCCCTATTTCTCACACTAAAAAATGACGGACATTAAAACTCAACTCTGTTCCACTTATTTATCTATAAAAATACCATGGTGATGAAAAACCAGTGTGTATTTTTAATACAACCTTGGTGCTAACACACAAGGACACACCAGGTTCAGATCCAGTCTGTATTCTCACCTATTCACTGTGCCAGATATGAAAAAAGACAGTTGTAATATCATTTTAATTTTTTTCTTATCTCATCTGGACTAGGATAATTCTCTTTGTAAATGATTGACGATTTTTAACAATCTAGTACTTGAGTAAATGAATAAAAAATACAGCAGCTTGCTTAGATTATTGATGTGGAGACTGAGTGTAGGATCACATCCAATGGTTTGTTTTCTCTTTTCCTGGTGCTTTTAGTCCCAGTTTTAGTCTATGTTCCAGTTAAATAATTATTGCTCAGTCTAGTTTAGTGATCTTCCGTTGGCATTTAGGAGTAATTAAACCAACAGAAATATTTAAATTCTCAAAGCTTCTAGGTTTGTCCCTCAAACCCATAGGAGCTCGACAAAAAGAAAAAGAACCATTGCATTTTATTTTTCAAAAGATAAGCCAGCCAAGAAAAGACCAACCGCATCCAGAGATGATGTGCAGAATAACTCAATTATCCAGATTCATAGAGGAGAAACCACAGGGATGTTCTTCTTTTATCACAATTTATTCATTTATCTTTATTTTGGTCAATGAATATGTTTAAAAACTTCCTTCCAAATGAAACATCCAGAGAAGTGTCTCCTGTTATGGTTAGTTTTTATAAAATCTACAGTTTCCTAGAAGGTCTGAATTGTTTAGCTGTTTTGTCAATTGTAAGATTGATTGTTACTAATAAAATAAGGAATAAATCTTTTTAATCCTTAGGCTATTACCAAATATTCATACACAGTGTAGTTTGCATAGGTTTCGATTCCACTGGTTCCAGTATTAGTGTCAGTAATCCAGTAATAGCTTTTTAATTTCCCATTGTTTCATTTACTTGAACTGCAGAGAATAATTAATGAACAAAGTTGTGAAATTCTTAGTTTAAAGTATATTTAAGATGCAAGTATTATCGTAGGGCCCATTCTGCTTTATTTCAATTCTCTAAAAAAATCACCAGAATGTAGAAAATAATGTGTATTGGGGGAAAAAAATGTTCCACATAACTACAGATCACTTATTATTACACAGTAACATTTACTGCGCTATAAAAATTCCACATTTTGCAGCTTTGTTAATCCTGTGAAAACCTCCAACTTATAGCTGCAGCCATCCTCATCTAACTCTGACAGGGTTTCCTGTCCAAACTATTTCTAAATCTCACCCCAAGGTTTTGTGAAAAGTTGGCAGCCCTGCTATCTCCAATCCACAATCATAATTTCTTCTTTTTCCTGTTTGATCCTTCTATCGTTGTCCTCCATTCTACTATTTGTCTGCATCCTTTCCTTTTTTACTGTGTCCTTCATTTGTTTCTTCCTGCTCTGTGTCCATTTCTTTCTTATGCCCTTCCTATTTGTCTGCTATTTTTCACTTCCTCCTCTCTCTCCTTTCTTCTTTGAGTCATACCTCTTTTTTTTCTTATTTATTTGCTTTCCCTCCTTAGGTTTTTTCCTTTTGCAATTTCTTTCTTTCCTTCTCATCCTTCCTTCCAAGCTCACAGAGTAAGGTGGTAAAAATATCTGGCATGAACTTTTATTTATGTTGAAACTCATGCTTGAATTTTAAATTCTAAATGATTTTTGCAATGTGAAAATGTGAGTGGAAACATTAATACATTATGCTGAAAGTTTTTATTTCTTTTTTCTTTAAAAACAATGTGTAGAAATGGGTAAAAAAATAAGCATGAAATAAATTGTACATAAATATTAACATAGATAAAAAAAAACATAAAGTAGACTGACATGCACTGCAAAAAAATGTAAATCTAAAAAAGACATTTTATCTTAAAATCAGTGCAATTTTTCTTGAATTAAGGCGGTAAGGGAGACAATTTGTCAATGGAACAAGACAATTTACATTTATAATATTAAGTAAAAAACATTTGCATTGTCTTAATTCCATTGCATATTATCTAATTATCTTATTTTAAGGGTCAAAATGCTCATTCCAGTGGCAGACCATCTTACCTACCTGCTAAATTAAGGGTAAATACGTTTAATTTAAGAATTGATTACTTTTTCCAGTGTGATTTCATCGTCGTTTCCCTTTTTTCAAGTTGAGCTCTACAACCGTTTTAACAAAGTCAGCTCTAGTCACCACGTCTGAGGCGATGATGTTCATAGGCGTCTTTTCATGCTGCTGCTTCGCCCATCGTAGCATTTTTGGCAGACCCCTTCGCACGACGTTGGGGAAGCTGTCGCACACACGCAGGATGTATCTGAGGATGCCAGAATTGTGTGGAAGGGTTGGATTCAAGCCACAGACGAAGAAATCTGTAAATAAATCATAAAACAGGTTTGCTTTAGAGAAACAATGAGGTGTAAAATCAATTTACTGCAGTTATTTTGTGTGTATTTGTTGATAGGAAAAAAATATTAATTCTGATTACGTGAAGATATTATTATTATTATTAAAAAGTGAGTCAATCTGTGTGGAAATGAGCAACACTCACAATTGGGAGACTTCTGCTTTTCCAAAGCCTGACATAGTTTGGCTGTAATTTTTGCACGGTCCATACTGTTGCCATAGTAATACGTTATTTTTCTCCATAGCACAGCCTGATGGTAGGATGGATGGTCATATGAAACTATTACGTTTTTGCCGTTATCCCAGCAGTGTTTGAGAGTGGGATTGACCTGCAGTGATACAGTAATGCTGTCATAGAGTGATTTTGAATTCTAGGCCAGGAGAGAAAAGATGGAGTAAAATAATCCTAAAAGAAAGAAAAGGAATACCATATTTGGCAAGAGTTTGGCTTTGAAAAGGTTTTTGATGAACTCGATCAGGTGGTTGTGAAGTTTTGCTGCAATCTTCTTGTCAAATCCCTCGAAGTGGGATAAAGACAAGATGAGGATTTCTTTAGGATGACTCTCCGCCCACGTGTTTATTTCCTGAAGAATGGTCTGATTACAGAAAGAAAGCAAAAAATGAAACAAACAAAGTATAATTTAATCAAACTTAATGAGAGTTTTTAATGCATGGAGCCAGGAAACCCCAGAGAAGCATTCATCTCTTAGCACTATGTTTGGTCTAAGACTTTAGGAATGGAGTGTTTACCTCCACGTCGGTGTGTGTGTACAGCCCATGGTGAAAATACAGCCTGGTAGGATCAGTGTCGTTTGGCTTGCGGCCGATCCTAAGGTCAAAATAGCGAACTCCTGCATTTAGCTGCTCAGTCATGTTCACCTCCTGAGACAGAAACTGACATGTCAACCTCCCCATCCTTTCCATCTTTCTCCATGCTGTTGTGATTAATTCTCGCCTTACCTGAGTGATTGCCCATGTGTGTATTATTTTACGCACGCAATAAAGCCTGCTAAATCTCCTCAGTGCATTAGGCTCGATGATTCGGGAGTGAACGTCCAGATCGTAACTCATTGAGTCGTGGCTTCCTGGGAATAACAAAGAAAGAACAAGTAGGAGAGCAGAGCTGTGGTTTTATGGTGTCACACAGGCTTGGACTGGTAATCTGTGATACCGGGTATTTGCCCGGTGGGCCGGTCCTAATTTCAGCATGCAAGGGCTGGCTGTCCTTAAATCATACCGGCCCCAAAATTTAGTCTCCGGCCAAAGCACCTACCTCAGACATTAAATAATTCAAGGAGCTCAAGAAGTAATACAATGTCAACCACCTACAAGATGCATGCAGTATATATTGCCCTTCCTTTTCATGCACATGCTTGTGATGGTTGACATGTGATGTAATTATCTATTTCTCCAATCTGTAATATCCTTGCAACAAACTAAATTATAATAAAACTAAAATCCTTCCCTAAAACCAAACTACGATGTTCCTCTTCTATTTGGCGAGTTTATGTTAGAGTATTTTGCAAAAATATGTGCATGATGGGGCTTTGCATCTAAGGGCTAACGTTTCCTGCCTTACATGGATTGTTGCCAGGTTGGGATGTTTCCTGCTCCGGCAGTTTAGGATGGCGGTTTATGGGTAAAAAATGTTTTTCTTTAGATTTATGGCCTAAGAGATCAATAGGTTCAAATTGGGTGAGATTTCATATCTCCAGACGGTTTATGAACATTTTTTGGGCTGGTAAACGTGAGTCAGTGGAATCTGGCAACCCTGCTGGTCATTACACAGCAGCAGTCACTGTCGCGTCCGTGTTAATAACCAAAGCCAATAAAACCACCATGAGTGGGCAGGTGTAGATGGAAAAATGCCAGTGCCAAAAACAGTGGCACGGGAAGGGGGGTGCTGCGGGGGCTGCAGCCTCCCTCGTCATAGCATCAGCCCCCCATGGTGGGGGGCTGTGGAGTAACATAATATTGTACTTAAAAACATGAAATTATTTATGTATTTATTTTTTTAAAAGACTGTGTTTGATATGGGATTAAAATGATGGGCTGTGTATAAGATATAAACTAATGATTCATTATTTTAATATTTCATAAAAAACTAGGCTACTCCCCCAGAAGCTTCCACCACCTCACATTCATTTAGGCATGGCTAGCAATAGGCAGCAGAAACGTATTTCTGACTATTTCGAGGTAAGAAATGGTTTTAATTCCCCTATACTGCCGCATTTAGCGTTATTTATGTGCCTATTCGTCTTAGTCCTGTGGCTGAAGAAGTCTATGCTAGAATAAGGCTGCATATCATTAAATTTTATGTCTGTATTAAGCTATTTAGTAACAAAATATGAAATTAGTTAATTGTTTTTTTTTTTTTGTGTGTTTTTGTTTCAGATATGAAATCATTCCCCATATCCATAGTCGAATGGACTTGCAAGACGTTCAATGCTCAGTTTAGGCGATATTTAGGCCATGTTTTATTCAAGTATTCCTGATCCTGCTGATTGGGAGCTGCTGTTTGTTTTGAATGATTAAAAAAAAAGAAATAAAGTTTAAAATGTTCATGCTTTGTTCCAATGCATTTTAAATGGCAGTTTTTGGCGACAAATGTAGGCCTACAATATTATGTTAAAAACGTCAGCCACAGCCCTCAACCTAAAGACGTCATGTGTTTTCCAACCCAGCCATCAGCCCCCCTCGCTTGAAACAGCTTCCAGCACGCCTGGCCAAAAATCATTCCCAGGCCGAGCCTGGTGCCATACTTTCAGTTTAGATAGACACTTGTCTACAGCCTTTGTCTGCTTAAAGGCCCTTCTTACTCTTTTATCAGAATCATTCAATGGATTTATGGAGATTTCAAGAGACAAGCCACAGAAAATACATTTTCAGTGTAATCTCCACAGTGTTGACTGTGACTGGCTGGATGTGCTCTCTTCGTCCTCTGACGTGGGAGCTGACTCAGAGCAGGTCTGCCTGGCTGTTTGTTTCCTGCACAGGGCCGCCTGTGGCTGGTTGACAGACTTTGTATCTCTTCTTCTTTCTGTATCTCTGCTTCTGTCTCTTTGAACCCCAGTCGGCCTCAGCAGATGGCCGCTCACACTGAGCCTGGTTCTGCTGGAGGTTTCTTCCATTTAAAAGGGAGTTTTTCCTCTCCACTGTTGCTATAAGGATGCTTAGTGTGAGCGATTGCCTTCGATGCAATCAGCTTGTTTTCCTTAGATAGAAAACTTTGAATCAAATTGACTGTATGATCTGGTGAACTGTAAAGTGCCTTGAGATGACGTGTTGTGAATTGGCTCCATGAAAATGAACTGAAATGTACTGAATTATAACTTTAAAAGAAAAGGTGGATCTGTCCAGAAATATCTTTAAATACAAATAATAAAAGTTAAGTGATATTCAGCCCCATAGAGTTGGGCTTTAAGATTTTCGGGTGCGTTTACAGCTGTAGTCTTCTAGAATAGAATATTGAACTTTAATATCATTACACTGTCACAAGTACAAAGCAATGAAATTCACTCTCTGCGTTTAACCCATCCCTTTGGGGAGCAGGGGGCTGCTATTGTGCGACGCCTGGGGAGCAGTGTGGGGTTAAGAGTCTTGCTCAGGGAGCTGAGCAGCAGTGTGGGAGTGGGGCTTGAACTCAGAACCTCTGGGATCCATTCACGATGCCCTAACCCAGGCATCCCCAACCTCAGTCCTGGAGGCCCGCAGTCCTGCAGGGTTTAGAGGTTTCTCTGCTCCAGCACAGCTGATTTTAATTGAAAGCTGATTAACAGGCTTCTGGTCTACTGCAATCATTATAATCAGCTGTGCTAAAGCAGGGAAACCTCTAGAACCTGCAGGACAGGGGGCCTTGAGGACTGACTTTGGGGATGCCTGCCCTAACCAGAAAGCCGCCAATCGCCACTCTGGCTATAACTCCAGCAGTTCTCTACAATTGTATTTATGCTCTATCAAACCTGTGAACTTTGGAAGATGAAAACATTTTGAGAGATTAAAATTTCAAGCTTTATCACAGACGTTTAATTGGATTAGATGTAGGCTTTGATTAGGCAGTCTTGGCTGCATGTTTAGGGCTCTGGTCCTGCTGAAAGACGGGCGTCTACCTCATCACGTCTTCTGCATATTCTAATACTATGGTGCCCAAATGTTTGCTTTATAGACCAAGATAATTTGTTCGAAAGTACTCATGGGCTGAAATCTCTTTAAAAAACAAAAATAGAAAAATTATTCTTTCTACTACTCTAATTTTTAAAATAGACATACAACATCCTCTTGAAATGAAAAAAGATGCATGCAGTATGTAAAAAAAAATGGCATGTTAACGTTAGAGTAAGAAAGTCATGCAAGGTTTTCTGAAGGAGGAAAGGTGAGGATATTATTTTCAATTATGATGGTGAAACGTGATTAAATGGTGCACTTCACACATCTTTCAGCTTTTTCAAAAAAATGTTTTAATTGTCATTACACTGTCACAAGTACAGAGCAATGAAATTCACTCTCTGCATTTAAACCATCCCATTGGGGAGCAGTGGGCTGCCATTGATGAACCTCTGGATTCCAAGCGCACTGTCCTAACCACTAGGCTGCCACTCTCCCTAAATATATGCCTCTCCCTAAATATATGTTTCTAACATTACAGGTGCATAAGAGAAGAAGGATCAAAAAGACTCTTTTGCACCACCCAACATTTATTTGAAACATTGGTACTAGACCAATTACTAAGGTCAAGCACAAATCAATACTAGACCTTCAGTGTGAGTCTATGTTGATGGTCTAAAAAAATGAATATAGATCAGTGCTTAGCAACAACAAGATGATTTAAGAGAATAAATTAATCTGTGAAAATCTAGCTTCCTCAAAGACTGCTTGTTTTTATCTGCTGTATGTTGCTCTATCCATCTTCCCATCTAGCACAGCCAGATTCTTTCTATCTGCTGCAGAAAAGTATTTCCACAGCCTAATGCTGCCGCCGCTGAATTTGGCTGTAGGGAGGGTGCATTAAAGGTGAAGCATTAGTTTCAATCCCAACATAAGGTTTTACTTTTTTATCCTTGTTCTGATCCATTTAGAGCATCTTCTGCCAAATATCAGCTGTGTGCAGTAAAGGGTCTGTGATAAACTACACAGTGATTTGTCTAAATTTCATGCAGCAATAAGTTTCTTCTTTACCTCTCCATATACTCAATTCAGTTCAAATCAGTATATTTCTATAGCGCCAATTCACAACACGTCATCTCAAGACACTTTACAGTTCAACCAGTCAAATTGATTCAAAGTTTTCTTTTTAAGGAAAACCATTTGATTGCATCGACTCATTATGCTTGTAGCGACAGTGGAGAGGAAAAACTCCCTTTTAACAGGAAGAAACCTCCAACAGGGGTTTAAGGAGAAAGGACTATAATTGTCCTCTTAACAGGAAAAAAATTGTGTGTTTTTTTTGTTATTGTTCTTTTTTAACACATTTGTTTTAAGGGGTGTTATACCAAATCTTACATTAGTAGTCACAGTGATTACTAATTAAACAAATATAAATAGCTGAAGTAAAAAAAAAAAAATATATATATATATATATGAAAAGTTTAAGAGTTCTGGGATAGAGTTAGATGTGTGGATCTGAAGTTTGATTTTAAATGTTTTTCAGCTAATAACCAGTCACCTTCCCTTTGTGATGACTGTAATAGAGGAGTCAGTGTCAGAGTGACATAACCAGAGTTTCCTACCTGGAATGACCAGTTTAAACAGAGAGGTGGTGTGAAGCTCAGCCGGCAGTTTCGACATCCAGTCAGAGTAGCTCATGGCTGTTTTTTTTTTTATTAATGTCCTTGAAACAGAAAGATACAAGGCAACAGTTAAGCTCACCGACCTGAGGAAACAATCCTTATAAAGAGAATGCTTTAGAGGCTTACCCTGTTGAAGCACTACTTCTTTTCTCCACCCTTATTCCCTCTGTTCTGACAGTGCAGCTGTTATTTACTATGTATGACCGGCTGAATTGTTTCTGCTGCAAGTCTTTAACCTGTTGTGGGAGGAGATTAACAGTTGTTTCTCCTGTTGTTGTTCAGGTTTTCTTGCCAAGCTGCAATGTAACTTCCTCATACAATCATTATTTCCTACTGGCTAAACTAACATAGTAAGTCTTTCAGGTTTCAATCGATACAAAAAAATGTCACTAGATCAGTTCTGCCACATCAGATTTTTATCATTTAGAGGGAAATTCTCCATTGAACCGCAGCATTTTCTTTAGTAGAGGCTGCAGTGAGTTAATATCTGTATGCAGCTCTATTTGTTCTAAAATAAAAAACCCTTTTTTTTTATTATATTCTAAACATAATTATTTGAGACAACAACTTTAAAAGACAGATGAATTTACATAAACTATTATGTCAGGTGACCACCTGTATGTGTGGCAGACAGGTTAGGCCACAAACAAGCTCCCGCCCCCTTCATGACATCACAGGCAGCTAACCAATCAGTGCTTAGTCTTGAAACTTATGTTTCTGTGTCAATAAACAGAGAATGAAAACATATCAAACATGATTTCTGATCAAACAATGTTTTTTCCAATGTTGTCTTGTTTTTTGTGCAGCTTATTATAGTTTTTTTTTTTTTGGGGGGGGCTTGCAAATGTTTTACCTGTCCTGAACTTTAATGTGTCATATTTCAACCACAAACCTCATTGTCTTTTCTTGGAATTCAGTTTAAAAGTTGAGGAAATCGAACAGACACCTGTTTAGTCCATCATGAACAGCACAGTATTATGCAAAACCTACCAAGACATGTTTGTCCACCTGAAATAAGGTGACCAAGTCTATGGTACCTTAGATAAAAGAAGTGGAAAAGGTATTCTGGCAAGATAACTAACATGCAACATCATCATCATCATGATGACCCCCATTATGACACATAGTGGTGGCAGCATCATGCTGTGGAGATGCTTTCCTGCAATAGGAAGCTCTTAATTGATGGGAAGATGGATGCAAATGTGCAGCCAAAATATGACTGAATGGTGCAAATTGAAGCATATTTATGTCTTAAAATGACCCAGTCAAATAGTGAGAAACCTTTATATCCAAAGACCTGTTTTATTTATTCTTTATAAACTTAATTTATTAAATATGTCTAGATTTGTAAAAAATACCTTTAACACTCTGGGGGAAAAAAACAAGCTTATTTATATTTTTTTCTACTGCATGAAATATTTTCGTTTAACACAACAAATAATATCTCGGTTCAACTTTTTTAAAAATTAAATAAGAAGCAGGAACTAGTCTTTCTCATCTTTATACATCTAACAATAATGTCTGTATCATTTGTATCTAATGTGAGGAAGAACCATATGTACAAAAATGGTTAAATAGATAAATACATTAATAAATTGAGCCTTAACACAATTCTAGAAAGTTCTTATTTCACAAGGGTTAAATGCAAATTTCAGCCACACTTTTCAGAATTTTAGTAGTTTTTGCTTGTTTATATATTTATCCTTTACCTCCTCAGGTAAAGGATAAATGCGGTGAAACTATGGGTACTCCACCCTACTCACCATCCTGATTCTGGGACGTACTTTCGCCTGAGTCAGATGGGTTTAGGTTACTTTAATTCTTGACAACACAGGCCCCCACAACATTGCTTAAATTGGCTTAGTTATAGTTAGTTGAGTAACTTTTCGACAAAAATATACTTTGTAGTGAGTAGTTTTACTACTTTTTACTCTAACTTGGGTAATATCTTGACAAAATATTGCTACTCTTACTTCAGTAAAATGTTTAGCTACTCGACCCATTGTGACCAGTGGTGGAAAGTAATAGAGTAAATTTACTTGATTACTGTACTTGAGTACTTAGTGAATCTCTTGAGTTATTTTTGGAGGGGGTACTTTTAACTTTCACTCCACTACATTTTAAGAAGCTACTACTTGTTCCTTTTGGCTCAGCTTAGCTTTGTAATTTAATTCAGTTCAATTCAGTTTATTTCTATAGCACCAAATCACAACACAAGTCATCTCAAGGCACTTTACAGTTCACCAGATCATACAGTCAAATTGATTCAAAGTTTTCTATCCAAGAAAAACCAGCTGATTGCATCGACTCATTGACTCAAATGCAATCCCTCACACTAAGCATGCTTGTAGCGACAGTAGAGAGGAAAAACTCCCTTTTAACAGGAAGGAACCTCCAGCAGAACCAGGCTCAGTGTGAGCGGCCATCTGCCGAGGCCGACTGCGGTTCAAGGAGACAGAAACAGAGATACAAAAAGCAGCTGTAAAAGGCGGCCCCTTCCAGGAAACACACAGCCAGGCAGATGAGCTCAGAGCTAGCTCCCATGTCAAAGGATGAAGAGAGCACATCCAGTTAGTCACGGTCAGAGGGGTCCCTCCAGCACTCTAAGCCTATAGCAGCATAACTAACGAGATAGTTCAGGCTAACCTGAACCACTCTAACTATAAGCTTTATCAAAAAAGAAAGTTTTAACCCTTTGAAGCCAAGAATCCAAGAATAAAACAAAACAGAAAATTACTTTTTTTTTTTTTTTTTTAAGTCCTTATTTGGCCTTTTAACAAAATATGTAAAAAGAAAAAACAGAAATACATTTTTGATATTAATAATTTATTACTATGCGATAAGTCAAGATAATTTATTTGTGTAGTCTTCTGCCCTCTGTTATCAGGTATATGTGATTGTGTACAATAGGATTTTGAGCAAAGTTTTTAACATTAAATTATGCAAAAGGTGTCAGACGCAAAACATTTCAGAAACCGTATGTATCAAATATGATACATTTGGCATTACAGGGTTAAGCCTAGCCTTAAAAGTAAACAGGGTGTCTGCCTCAATAAAACTGGTAGTTGGTTCAACAGGAGAGGAGCCTGATAACTAAAAGATCTGCCTCCCATTCTACTTTTAGAAATTCTAGGAACCACTAGTTAACCTGCAGATTGAGAGCGAAGTGCTCTGTTAGGAACATAAGGAACAATCAGATCTCTGATATCAGATGGAGCTTGGCCATTTAAGGCTTTATATGTGAGAAGGAGGATTTTAAATTCTATTTTGGATTTAACAGGAAGCCAATGAAGAGAAGCCAGGATAGAAGATATATGATCTCTCTTTTTAATTTTCATCAGAACTCTGGCTGCAGCATTTTGGATCAGCTTCCTGATAGTAAAGAATTACAATAGTCCAGCCTTGAAGTAACAAATGCATGGACTAGTTTCTCAGCATCAGCCCTGGACAGGATATTTCTAATTTTTGCAATATTCCTCGGATGAAAGACGGGAATTCTAGAAACCTCTTTGATATGGGATTTAAATGACAGGTCCTGATCAAAAATAACACCAAGATTTTTTTTACTTTATTATCTGAAATCAGTTTAATCCCATCCAAATTAAGTGATTGACTAATCAGCTGCTGCTGTTTCTCTTTCTTGAAATACAATTTCATGATTTAAAATAGCAGCTCTTTGGACTCAGTTTGGACTGTTTTAGAGAGTTGTTTGATATTTCAGAAATGTGAGAAACAAGGGTCAGATATTATTTGTATTTCATAAATTTTATGAGGCCATAGTTGTTGCCATAGAGTAGCGAGGACACAGGAAGCGATTCTTGTGGGTTAGAAGAGGGAAATAGTGAAAACGAAGATTGGAAGAGATTAGCGTCAAAAACTGAGAAAAAGCAGAAAAAGCAGGAGTCCAGTTCAGAACAGTCAGGTGATTAAAGTCATTTTCAAACTAGTTAATCAGACAGACTCTTTTGCAGATTGGAATCTGGTTCAGTTAACAAAATCAATAAATAAGCTTGTAGGAGAAGTCCGAAGTGCCAGAATCCTGTATAGTGGAGACTTATTAAAAAACTGCAGAGACAGCACACAGCAAGGATAACCAAAAGGATCAACAAGATTGAGGGGAAAAGAGTTCAGTTCAGCTTAGTGGAGAACAAAAGGATTAGCAGGGGAGTCATTGGAGGAGTTCCTGTCATGAACCGAGGACAGATGGACCCAGTATTCAAGGAGAGACAGTCAGTAGGGAAGTTAAAAAAGGTTTATTAAATTAACAAAAACTAAAGTGGAGCTGTGGCTCTCGGACATAGCTGGATGGGGAGCGGGGCACCACCCAATCACAGAACTCTGCAGGAGAAACACAGGTAAGTGACCACGATCATCTGACAGAAGATGATTATCTGAGTTGGCCACTTACCTGGTTTTACAGTCCAGTCCATGAATGTCCCCAAGTGCTGCAGTCCCAGAGGACATGCTGGAAGCCGATCCTGGTCAGGGATCCAGAACAGACCTGAACAGACAGGGACAGGATCCAGATCAGGCAGGAACAGAAACAGGGTGCAGGATCCAGACTTCCAGGCATCCACTGGCTCCCAGGAGGGTTCAGAGTCTGACAGGGTCCGAAAGCTCGAGAGCATGAGTATGGAAAATGTGGAAAAGAAGCTAAAATCAAATGCAGTAACTGTGGTGGAGAACATACTGCTGCATATCGTGGCTGTGAAGTGAGTAAAAGGTCTGAAAAAATTAAAAAACTGAAATTTGAGCTCGGAATAACATGTGCTGAACCTGCAGAAAGGATCTCATCCCAGTCAGAAAAACCCAAACCAAAATTTTAGCACATGGCAAATTCAAAACCTCTGGAGCAATGTCCCACAATTGAAGATTCACTGAATGTAAAAAAGAACGATTTTGTTCTTTTCATGGTAGAAGTTATCAATTGTAGCGCTCAGACGACAAGAAAAAACGAAAAAAATTAATATAATAGTGAAAGATGCAAAAAAGTATCTTGAAGTTAAAGATTTAAACTGGGAAATGGTTGAAAGCATGATGGGAAACTGGCCGAGTGACATTAACTTAAAGATAAATAAGAAATTATGAGGGCAAATGTGACTAAGTATTTATTATGTTCGGTTAAGTTAAACAGTTGGGAAAAATATTATTTTATTTTTTTTTGTCGTTTCCTGTTTCCTTGCTTAACTCCTTATCAGTTGGTGGCAGTAATGCACTTTAACTAGTTTGCCAACCACCATAAAACCTTACAAGAAGAAGACTTTACGCCAAGTGAGACCATTAAGATCAATTAAATGCACAGATTCAAGTTCAGCTTTAATCAGTATACAAAATCCTAGTTAGAAGAGTAGATCAGACATTTTAATTGAAATATAGCAAGTTCTATATCAAGTTCAAATGATGGGTATTAGTGTTCTTTTTGTTTTGGTGCCAGCACATATAGGAATTAAAGGAAATTAAATTGCAGACAAGATTACTAAGGAAGCATCACAAAACAAAACCATTGCTATGTTGATTAACTTAGGAAAGACAGAAATTAAAAGTATCATTAAACACAGGATGAAGGAAAGGTGGGAAAAACAATGGGAAGAAGAAAGGATATGAAGATGGTTTTATAGGAGTCAACAGAAAGTTGGAGAAATGAGGATAGCAGAAGGAAGCAGAAGAGAGGAAACAGTTATTGCAAGACTTAGATTTGGACATGCAGGATTAAATAACACACTATTCAAAATAGGGAAACTTATGTCAGGCAAATGTGAATTTTGTGGACAAGACGGAACAGTAGAACATGTTGTGATGTATTGAAAGTAGTATGAAGAAGAACGAAAGATTTTGTTTAGAGACCTAAATAAGAGAAAGTGAAATTGGATTTGATAGATATTCTGCAGAAAAAGTAAAAAAAAAAGTTATCAATATTTATTTAAATATGTAATAATAACAGGAATAATTCGGAGGATTTAGTATTGTAAAGTAAAATTATAGATATAATATAGGTATCTTTATGAATAAGGCCAGTCTGAGCCACACTCCTCACCAGTAGGTGGCGGTAATGCGCACCCAAAAGTTGTTTGCCAACCGCCATTAAACGAAACAAGACTTTACACCTACTGAACGGCAGGGGGCAGCAAAGATTTCTAACGTAGCGGCAACAAGGAAGCGGAAGAATGAAGAAGAGGAACTCTGATTGTGAAAGACTGAAGGTAGAAGCCTATAAACTGTAAACAAACATTAATTTAGGTTCATTTGGTTAAAAACTCCTCTTAGGAAAGAACAGTTAGAGACTGTTGTATCTTTCTATAGATTGTCAGATTGGACGTGTTGGAACGCTGTGTCAGCTTTATATGTTTGGGCTGTTTTTTTTTTTTTTTTTTTAAACAATTCGCATATTTTTGCTGATCCACAGCGACACAAACCTGCTGTTTTTAAACGTCTTTCTCTGTTTTCGATTGGGTTGTTTCAGCTTTAAAACCTTGAGTAATGTAGAAAGCTTCGGCATGCTTGCAGCTCAGCCGAATATGGCGAGTATTTCATATTGAACAATCTGTCCAGAACAGACTGTGAAGGAAGATCCAACCCAGAAAGAAACTGTTCTTTTAAATGCATATTTTTCATATGCCGAAATATATAGAAGACCTCTAATATTTTTGCTATAAATATTCCTTTTTATTATCAGTGACGCTCTCAAGCTGCTTTGATCTTAAACATAATATTTTGCATGATATTAATGAAGTTCTGCTCCAGTGCATTTAGATCCTTTTAACCCGCATTTAGTCTTCTTAAAATAAATGTTATGTCAAGACTAAGCAAGGAATAATTGTGAAGTAAAACAAAAAAATCTTATTAGTGTGGCATGCTTTTCTAAGTCTCACTTTTGGAAAATGTTGCTGACAGATTTTCCTGCATTCAGATATAAATGAATAATTTATTCTCTGCAGAATAATCCAGATATTATCTGTGAACAGGATTATCCAACTTGTACTGCAGCTCCTCAGTTGGATTTAGTTCTGACCATTAATGCTAATTATGTTTTAATATGGTCCATTCAAATTTAGCTCTTAATGTATTTTTAAAAAGTTTTTATCATATTTTTTTCTTGCTGGAAAGTAAACATCCGACCCAGTCTTAAGTCTTTTAGAGCCTTTAATAGATGATCAGTGTAATCAGCCCTGAACAGCTTCCCTTCCCATGATGGAAGACGCCCCACAGCATTATGCTGCCATTACCGTGTATCACTAGGTATTCAAGTGTAATGTCTGTGGTATTTTCAAATATTGAATGTTGGCCCTCATCTTCATTTAGATGTTATCTGAGCAAGTCACCCTCTTCTACATGTTTTCTGTGACTTATAGCAAACAGGAAACACTTATTATCATTGTTATTTTTTTATCCATCCGTATCCAGTCCTGCCTGCTCTCTATTCCATGTTCTTCTGGAGCCTGTTTGCTCACTAAAGTTTTCTGAGAAAAAGGCACACGCACAGGTGGACTAATTCATGGACCTCTTTTGTTTGTTTTTTTTTCTTTTAATTGGCTCATTTTTTCGACAGTAGGCTGACAGGAAAGGGGGTATATGAGAGGGAGGGAGACATGCGGCAAAGGACCACAGATTCGGATTCAAACCTGGGTCGGCCTCGTTGAGGACTAACGCCTCCGTACATAGGTTGTGCATGCTAACCACTTTGCCACCTGCACGCCCAGGAACTCTATTTATCTCACAGTGGAGAAATGAAGTCATTAAATCAGTTCAAATAGTCAAAAAGAAGAAAATGCCAAAGGAAGAAATTGATAAAGGCAGGGTTATTATACAGGGTTATTGCACAGGGTATTTATATAGATGGGTATTTATCTAAATAACTATTGCACTCGATATTAAATAGTAATTGCACATTATACATTGCACAAGTTATTGGCAAGTTATTTTCTGATTATTAGCTGAAAAAGTATTGGGGTAAATCATATTTTGGGTTTTTATCACTAAACAATTCTGCAGTGTTAGTCTACCTCATAATACAATTTGAATGAACTGAAGTTTGTTGCTATAAAATTAAAGGGTTCAGGGGTGTGAATACTTTAGCCTCCTTTTATATGATACATTTTGGCTGATTTGCATATTCACATATTTAACAAGCAATACTTGATCAGTCCTGATTGTTTTATTTTTTTAAATGATTCTAGGTAGATTTTACAGCCTTTTTTAACCTTAAACTCACAACAAAGACTGTTTTCTAGCTCAGACTGGCTTTAGTCTGTTTGGATCATGTGAAACTTTTGATATCAAAACTCGTGCATTTTCTCCAATTGGAATCGGATGTGTGTCAGTAGTTTAGAAGAACACTCACTGACACTGTAGCCAAGTTTGGCTGCTTGTAAGATGCGCTGATAATGATCTGCATCCTGCCTCCCTGTGTTGAAAAAAGTTATTCAGTTCTCCTGTCAAATATGGATAGAATGTCTCAAAAGGAAGCCATCTCCATCTGTAAAAGGTTATAAAAATTCAGCCTTTATTTTGATGAGTAGGAAAAAAGTTCCTGCGGTCATTTATGAATTAACAGATCAATAGTATGAAACATCGCACATAGAGCCAAAATAAAAGAAATACAATAATAAAAACAAGAGTTCAATCAAGAATGTCTAAATGCATTTTAAATAGTTCATGATGCCTGGGAAAAAAGTTCCCATGGAGCAGAAATGGGTCCATAGCATCACAGATCTTCCACCATACTAAAGCATCCGGCCGTCGCTTCTCCACATATTCATAATTTGTCTCAAATCAGACTCACCAAGTTTATTTGTTGCTGAAACGTTTAATCTTTATTACATCTGAAGATTTCTCCTGTTGAAGGCAAAGCAGCATTTAGAAATATTTAAAAAAGATGGGGTTTCTGCCATCACCAGCCAAGTGGTTGTTATGGAGACTAGATGACAGCTAACAGATGCCACTCTTTGTTGCTGTTGGCTTTGGAGATTGACTTACCAGCCTCTCAGTCAGCTCAACATTAAACTTAACCCTTTTTCTTTTAAATTGGGTGTGTTGTCCTTCTCTTACTTTTTAAAAAATCTTTCCACAGATTCTATGTACCAGCTAAGGACCGCTGAGGAAGAAGAGTACAGCAGTGAGATCTCCCAGCTCAGGCAGGCGGTGTTAGAAAACGATGACAGACTCCTTGACAAAATGCTCTGCCAGGAAATCTACAAGAAAGTCATCAACTGTAGAGGCGGCTGGGGCATCGCAGGCACGCCTCTCCACGCCGCTGTGTCTAAAGGCCACCTCAGCTGCCTGCAGGTTCTGCTAGGCCACGGCGCTTTAGTAGACTCTGTCGATGTCAAAGCCCAAACGCCCCTTTTCACAGCAGTTCGGGGGAAATACCTGGACTGTGTTCTTACCCTCCTCAGAGCCGGCGCCAACCCCAACGGAAGCAAGGCCAATAACAGCTCCCCTGTTCTCACTGCAGCCAGAGAGGGCAACGTGGAGATCCTCAGGCAGCTGCTGGATCATGGCGCAGACGTGAACTCTCGCTCCAAAGTCCTGGTGTGGCCGTCCTGCGAGAGAGTGAGCGGCGGACCGCTCTACCTGGCTGCAGTTTACGGACACATAGAGTGCTTTAGGATGCTGCTCCTCTATGGGGCGGACCCGGATTACAACTGCACAGATGCAAGGTTCCTGGGCTTAGTCAAGCAGCCTAAAACAGTGCTGGAGATGTGCCTGAGGTACGGCTGCGGAGTGGAGTACATCCAGCTGCTAATTGACTTTGGTGCAAACGTCTACCTCCCCACGCTGATCATTGAGAAGTCCACGAAGCAGAACGAAGCCGTGGAGCTGCTTCTGAGTGAGAGAGGTACAAACATTCTCATATATATTTTAATTTTGGGGTATTTTCACAATTTTGCATAGAATAAAACGTGACTTTGGCAATGAAATGCAGTCTTATTCCAAGAAACACCAGGAAAATCTCTGTCAAGGAGCTGGAGGTTTTTAATATGTAAACATACTCCTGAAGGGCAGACATGCAAGATCATTAAAAAGAACCAATACGTCCTTTTCTCTAACATCAGATTTTTCTCTCTAAAAATGCTTCTTCTTTTGCTTCCCCACATTCAGGAAGCCCCAAAGCCTTGACCTCACAGTGCAGACTTGCCGTGCGAAGACATCTGAAAAGCATCAACAAGATCCACTGCATCGATGAGCTGGAAATGCCCACCAGTCTGAAAAACTTTCTGCAGCATAAATCCGTCCCTGTCCCCGTTTTGTAAAGAAGGAAATGTGTGTGTTATTTTATTGTGGTTTTATTTCAGGTTGATGTGTGGTTTCATTGTGAGTCTTTGCATACATGTGTCTTAAAACTGCTTCTGTCTCTTCTTGGGCTGCTCTGCTCAGTTAGACGATTAAAAATGTGAGAAAGTAGCATTTTTCTCTGCTTCCTGTTTTTATTACTCCATGTGATTCCTTAGCGTTAAATTTACTCAGCTGTGTTCAGGTGCACCACAATAAACTAATAATATAAAAAGTTAATTTATGTTGGTAATTTATTCAAAACACAGAAGCTCATAGATAAAAAAATACAAAGTTTTAAACCATTTTTTTTATATTTTTGACGTTAATTTCTGAAAATTTGAACTCATATATCAGCTGGTGTAGATATGATTAAAAAATTTCAAACAGAAAAAAAAAAATAATTGTTACTTAATGGTCTAAATCTTCTTTCAGATAAAATAAAACTTTGCATTTTATATAGAAATCCAATTCTCAGATCAACAAAGCTTAAAATCAAGTGAAAGGTTTCCTTTTTGTTTCTGTTTTTGCCAATATGGCACGGAGAATTGAGTTCTGGGGGTCAGTTTTAGGAACCAGGTTTAAAAACCGTAACTATTGATCTAACCTAAAGTTGGGAACTCTGAGTTTCCAGTTTCACAACAGCTGCTATATTAGTTCAATCAACTCTAAGTAGAACCACTCAGAGTTGAACACGTGCGTAACAAGTATAAAAAGCCATTATCAGTGGAGCACCGATTCAAATAAATCACCATGACAACAGGAAACAGGAAGTGCCTATTTCACCCCATTGGAAGTAGAGATTTTAATGAAGAAATAATATAAAAAAAGGGGAATGTCTTTTAAGCACAGAGAAACAGCTGCAAAGGAGAGAAAGATGGTGAAGGAGAAGATTGTTGCTTGAATTAATATGCAAGTTGATATGAAGTCGACTATGGCAGGCCTTTTTTATATTTATTTAGATTCTTCCTGATAAAAACCACATTCCCAGACTGAATTGTAATAACATATTTTCTAAATTAAATTTCTGTACCAGAAATGGAATTTTAGAAAGTAATATATATATATATATATATATATATATATATATACTAGTAAGAAATAAGTTTTATATTTCAAGAAATGTTTACAGTGGCTGTTCTAACATTTATCGGCTTGAAATGTGATATGTGTTTATAATATCTGAAATACATTTCTTCATAGTGAAAATAATACAAACGCTAACTAGTAATATTACGGATATGGAGATCTGATATTAATTTATAGATCTAGAATTATCCATAATTATTATTTTATCCAGAATGTTTATTCTAGATGTGGAGAATGTCATTTTTGTAAAAATGTTTTTTTTTCTTCAGATATCTGCAACACATATTCAATAAAAGTAATAGATATAAAAATGGCTTGCCATAGCCTGTTGTGACCATGATAATATTATGGGATAATTTCTTGAATGGTAGTAGATCAATGTATGTATTTAGGTGAAATCTTATGGCAGCAGGGGAAAACAAAGTCTTAAAAATGTTTTAATATATAGAACATATGCATCATCTCATGCTTCCCTCCTCATGTTGATTCTTTTACACAGTAAATACTAACTGGCTATTTGAAGCCGCGTTTCGGATGTTATCATCCCAATAAATGGTTGTTATTAGCGGCTATCAGGCCCATAGAATGGCTTCAGATTGTGCCAGTAGGCCCATTAGGTTGTTATCATGGAGTGAATCCTAAACCTAAAGTAATTCCTTTTCCCCCGCTGAATTATTTGAATCTATTTATGTGTAATATGAAAATAATTTCAGTAGTTCTTCAAGTACTGTAAATATAGCTGATTAAAAATAAAATGATCCGCTTCTGGTTCATATTAAACAAACTAAAAACAAGCAGTCATGTCAACTCAGTTGTAGAATCCTCTTTCTATAAATATTTAATTCTCTTTGAAAAAGTGCCGATCATTCTTTAGTAAGACCCTCGTCAAACTGACAGCAGTGTTTGTTTTTAGAAATTAATGTGTGTAACGGACCTTGTGATTATACATGTATATTTTTATGCACAAAACTATGACAAAAATCGTACTAAATCAGGAAATAGAACTTCATTGGCTGTAAGGAGAGTGGAGACAGAGGACACTCTGATTTAACTACAGACAACCATCTACCAACCAGGCTTGCTCTGAGGATTATGTTAAAACGGTGACTGAAACAGAGGTTGAGGAGACTCTCTTTGTGACCTGGAAAAGTTAGTTTCTCTAAAGCTTTTTGTTGCTGAAACTGCAGCTTTGTATTTAGAATAACTCTGTGTGAACACAGCAGGATCCAAACACCAGTGGTCTGTACGTATGAGTGTGTTTGTGTATATAAAAGGTATGTAAAGCCCTTTTAGGTGGAAGAGATGCTCAATCTCAGGGTTGAGTGGTCCCAGAGCCACCCCAAAGAACCAAGGGATGACACAAAGGAGACCAGAGCCTGAGATATCCAAATGCACGCCATAGTAAAGGGGGAATAGGCCAGACCCCAGAGGCTTTGATGCTGAAGCCCCAAGTGATGCAGTGATGTGCCCACACGCTCCTCCGGCTGCTATTAACAAGGCAGACCAAGTTTTGGGCCCAGAAACCTGAGGCCCAGGGGCAGAACCACCAAGCAGAGACCTAACAGGGCCATGTTGGGGGGAACAACCTCTCAATGTGCGCCCAATGCCTCAACCCCACGAGGGGTATTGTTGTTTCCGAGTCAGTGGTCGCTTAGGACTAAAGGCTGTCTTATACTTCGAAACTAGGTCCTCTGCATAGGTCGCAGGGAACAAAAAGACGTCCCCGCCCCCTCCGCAGACACTCTACTGCACCTGTCCCCAAATTGTAGGTGACCGCAGAGAGTGCCGTAGAAAGGAGGCCGGCTTGTTTTTTTTTAATGACCGAAATTGCGGAAAACAACTTGTGAAGTTGGACCAGCTAGAAGAGTGAGGTGCGGGAGAACGCTGGGACCCTTTTTCCACCTGAATCCCTGCTTTTTTTCGACGTCATGTCCTTCCGTTTTTGGACAAACTCACCCCCACTTTCTCATTGCCTTGGCTGTATCTAGTCCCACAGCGTTTAGTGCAGACCACCCTTCAATATTGAGCGTAAACCAAAAATGTCTGCGTCAAGCTCACTGCGACACACTGCTGCAGGAGTAAAACCAGCCCTTAAGGCACAGGTGTCAAAGTGGTTCCAGAAAGGGCCGTGTGGCTGCAGGTTTTCTTTCTAACCAAGTTCATCTCATCAAGTCATCATGTTCAGATTGGACTCCTTTGACTAGATGACTGGAGTCTGGTGTGCTATTGCTTGGTTGGAAAGAAAACCTGCAGCCACACGGCCCTTTCTGGAACCACTTTGACACCCCTGACTTAAGGTGTGAATTGCGCTTAGGTTGGGGTTAGGGTTAGGTATAAACCCATAATGGTTAGGTGTTAAGTTTTTTTTTTTTAATGGAAGTCATTGGAAAGGCCCTGCAAAGATAGTGAAACAAGTTTATGTGGGTGAGTGTGTTTTTGTACAGTTGTTTGTCTTGTTTTTCCATATTATCCTGTAATAGACACGTGACCTGTTCAGAGTATACTCTGCCTCTCACAATGACTTACGGGGATGTACGCCAGGCAACCCTGTAATGATAATTTGGGTTATTGATTGGTAAAATTGAAAATTGCAGAAAAATTGTGTGAAGTTGCAAAATTATATAATTGATGGCAACGGTGGTTAGAGGTTATTTTAAAGGTAAAGTCCATTTCAGAATTCAAGCTTCTGAAAGTACTTTAAATATTAAATTATTATATACTGTTCAATAAAAGATAAGTGTTTTTTATTAAGAGTAATTTCATTTCAATGTTCTTTACTGGAGACATAAATGTTTGTCAAACACTTTTGCCCTATGTATTACAACCTCCAACTACCATGCACATGGGCATTGTCAGTTTAACTATAGCTCTGGTGAATTTCAATGGTGAAGTCCTCTGGAAATCTTCAATAATTGTTGTTGATTGCAGATGTGTCTAGTAGTTCCCATTGATTTAGCTTGTAAAGTGGGGAGAATGGCGCTAGGCTTACCGCACTGTGACGTCACTGCTGAAAGATGTTACAAGTGAGGTGTTACTATATTTGGGAGAAATCTTTTATTTTTTACTGATTAACACTGAATTCATTAAATCAGCGTGAATGTGTTAGTTTTAGGTATACAGTAGATATTATTTTATATTTTAGGTTAAATTTAAAGTCCTACATATTATGCTCAGATTCTTCTTTCATGGTTTCAAAAACGAATTTCCTTTCAAGCAAAAATTGGTTGAAAAGTTATTGAAAAGACAATATGATTTACGTCCAAAAGACGTCTGCATTTGGTTGAAAAGCGAAAGTTGAAAAACTAATTTTCATATAGTTGAAAAGATGTGAAACTGGGTTTGGAACATCCTTTAAACATCTATTTTTGGACTGAAATGGGACAAAATCAGAACGACCAAACAGCCCAATTTTTAACAACTATTTCAGGACTAAATCAATGACGGACCAACCAGATTTAGCCTAAAAACCAAGATCTGAATGACGTTTGGTATTTTATCTATTGGCATCTAGTAAAAACACCATGATGGTTTCTACCCTTTACCTCATAATTTACATTGACCTGATGTTTCTAATGATACAATGATAATAAAATACATCAAAACATGTTTACAGTTATTTATTGGAAATCAATTTTAATCAAATCAGTTCAGGTTATTTATATAGCAACAACTGACAACACACGTCATTTCAAGGCACTTTACATAGACAAAGAAAGCCAGATGATTGCATCGACTCATTGGCTTCGTAGGATTCTCCTCCTGGATGAGCATGTAGTGACAGTAGACATTGGCTTGCAGTGAATCATTGACTCTGTATATATATTAAAACAAGGATTCCCCAAATATATAATTGTGAGCAGAAGGATTCTGAAATAAAAACAACTATAAAGAAGCAGCTCTGTGTAGCTAAAGCCACGACTTTCTAACAAGCTTATGCAGGTATTCCAATATATCTCTGCTTCAGAGCTATAAGTTGGACTTGGTTAATTATTGTACTTTAAATTTCTGCATTATAATTTCTTGCATTTGCAAAGCAATGCTCAGTTTCAGGCACCATGAAATTCTAACTAAATGATCTATAGTAGTTTTTTTCTTCTGTCGTCATCAGTGGCGCTCTTTACTAGATTGGGGTATTTTAGTTCAATAGTTACAGTATATGGTGAAAGCTTTGAGTATATCAAGCATACATTCTCTGTATTTCCTTCTTATTTAGAGCTCTAGAGGCAGTAAAGGAAGTCGCTCATGCATGTCGCTTCATTATTGTATCTGAAGAGTAAATGAATCATGTTGGCCAATAAGAGTAGGAATATTAGCTTGCAAGTTGGAAAAATAAGTCCTTGCCCATGCAATTTGTGGACTGGACATTATTTGTGAAATGACTTTATCCAGGCTGCCTTCAGTCTGGCAAATATTAATGTTACTATAGCCAAACAGCGTACAGCAAAAAACTTCATTTCCCTTATAGTTAAAACAACAAACTGGATATTGGTAATGTTCCGGAACATAATAAGATATCATCTCTGTCTTTAAATTCTCCTTTAGATGACTCTTGTATTTGTCCAGAAGAATGCCAGCTTGCTGTTGGTAAATACCAGCGACTGTGTTTGCCTTGGTTCCATCTGTCTCCTCTAACCGTTCCAGATGGATCATCATCTGGGTGTGAAAGGCAGCTCCGTTCATCCACTGGTTAAGGTGCCGAGCACTCATGGTTATCTGGTTGTCCTTCACCATGGAGTTCTGAAAGGAGCAAATTTCCAATCCTATTAAGAATTACCAACAAGCTTTAACATTAATAATACAGGACTTCTACAGACATTTGGATTTTAAAACTCTATAAGATCCCTGGATAAAAGCAAAGTTGTTTTTAAGTATTGCAACACTTAATAGGGAGTTCCCACAAGGAAATGCAAGTGAATAACTCAGGAATGTACTGTGTTGGTACAACCCAGTCTCATGGGAAAATGTACCCCCACTACGTTGGTCCACACTGCAAAACGTAGTGGAGGTACATTAATGGCCATATTTTTGTGGTACTGTTACATTTCTTCTGCCTATACGCTTTCTATTGTTTTACGTCCTAGTCACGTGACTTTCAAGATACCAGCTGGGAGACGGAAAAAAAAAATATATATGGCCGACATTCGCTCATTTTTTTGTGGAAAGATTAATAACTTGAGTTTGTTTTTGCATTAAAATGAGTTTTGATTACATTTCTAGTGAGAATGTATAGTTTGTTGCCAGAATATTTACTCAGGGAATGTACATATTCACTTGCTTGTTCGTTTCTTGCAAAGATTTTTCAAGATAATGTGAAACTGTAACGTTTTGGTATAAACATGGCCGAGATTTCTCTAACTTTTAGTGGGAAAATAAATAATTTCAATCAGTTTCTGCATTTAAATGGGTTTTGATTACATTTATAGCGAGAAGTGTAGGGTTTATTTACATAATATTTACTTAGTGAACATACATAATCACCCGCTTGCTAGTTTTTGCTACGGTTTTTCGGATCTCGTCAGGATTATGTGAAATTGCAACGTTTTGGCTGCTACCCATCGCCTAGCATTTAGCTGCCGCCCCGATTCAACATTGAATTCTTTGTGATTTAACTCCATCTGACGGATCAAACCCTCGCCACTGCGTGCGTTGCGTCTGAGGTTGATTTTCAGATCAATGCATTACGTCGTGGCATACGGGAGAAACTTATGTTGACAAAAGGATCATGGGTTAAGATCGGATGTGTTTTATTTGGAAATCTACCGGATCCTTTGTGCATTTAACTTCCTGTTTGGTGCGATCTCATTGATGGATTTTGACCAGATTTTGACCAAAGAGGAACTCAAAAAAAAAAAAAAAATTTAAATACACAACCAGCATATCTGGAATCAATGACAGAGAGCGACTGGGACCAGAAGTTTATTAATTTCTCCCCATTCATTTCCATTCAAAATGTTTTCGCTCCCACCGGGCTCTAGGGAAGGGGCGTGCATACTGCCACCTACTGTTCATGAGTGCGTAACAATATTGTTTTACATCTATTAAATTCTATTTTTTAATTTTGTATTCTGAAGATGAATAAATAATGCTTTCCTTATTCTATAAATATCTTTTATATTTCCTTTATTTCCCAATAATCCTTTAAGACTCCATTCTTGGCCTGTCCTTTCAACTCTTTTCAATTTCTCCCTGGCCAGATTCCCTTTTATGAGTGAAAAAAAGCATTTTTGCATAATTGGGCCATTTTTTCCACTGTGCCAAAATCACATTTCCGCCTCGCACACTGCTCACTAAAATCTTTGTGGAGCAAACATGATTTAACTTACTAACTCCAAATTTGCTTGTGTTATAGTCAAGATGTGAATCTATAGTCTGAGGGTTCATCATGAGTTTCAAATGGGTTTTCATGGTGTTTTGCAGTTTATTTTGGACATAATTTTGGTGAGGCTAATTGTTTTTCATTTTTTCTTTGTTTAATCACCTAGAAATCTGACATGGTGACTCTTATAATAATGGTTCCACCTGAAGAATATTCCCCAATGCCTTTCTGTTATACAAATACAAACAATTGTATTTCCAATTAATAGTTTGGAAGCTGTACTTGCTTTAATTCACATATGTACAGTAATTTCAGGTGGGATTTGCTACTAAGACCCTCAGGGCTTTAGGGGTTAAAAAAGTACAAACACACACACACACCATGCAAAGATTAATTACTTTTTAAACTTCAAATTTAAAAGTTTACGTTTTTAGCAGATCATTTTTGTGTTTTGATTTTTTACCTTTAGTCTGGTGAGCTGGGTGCTAAGTGCTAAGATTGTAGTCGCTTGGTGCTTTCAATCAGGGCAGCCTGATCCCTCAAGTTGATCCTCAGTTGCTTAATATATTCGTCCATAAGATCTCTGACCTGCCCAGGTAAGGATTAAAATTATTTAGATTAATTAAACAGATTTTTTTGTGTGTTTAGGACAACAAACTGCTGATTTTATATCAGCAGAACACGACGTCCACTCAACGTCTTCACAATCCGCGCTGACTCAGCCATTCCTCCGCTGAATAAGACCTCGTCTCTGTATCTATTCAGCTCTGCAACAGAGTTGTTTCCAGAAAACCTCTCCAGGGAACTGCATGAAAAATGATCAGTTAGCTTAAGTAACAGTGTTTGTTTTATAAGGCACAGCTCTTGCAATATTTACAGTTGTCAACATTATTAAAGTGTTGCTCACAATTCTCTAATATTCTCTAATTCTCTCCCTATTATTGCCCCATTCAGAAACCAAACTCCTCCCCATTGAGTGTCATCCTGCAGGATCGTGTCCTGCAAAGTCAATGACCGGATGCTATCAGCTGGTTTTTCATTGATTAAAAAGTTTTTTTTGCTTTGTTTTATACAAATCTGATTGTATGTTCTAATTGAGATTTCCCTGTAAATTGCCTTAGGGGTATGAAGAAATTGAGCCCCCCCATATGCTCACCTAAGCAAGTTAGATACTTATGACACAGTGAAACTGACTGCATGACCTGCTATAGTTATTAGATCTTTTGGGGGCTAGGGAATTTAAATTTAATTTACAAAGCAAAGTAACAAGCCCTGCTCTGAAGTGAACTACAGTACTTTGATCCTGATGACCACATTGTTCATTCAAGCCAGGAATGCATAAAACAAATTACACAGGTGATTTAAGAACTTTGTAGCTAGTACTCCTGAAAATCTTCTTTTATTTGCATTTTTCTACTGTGCTCTACTAGAATACATCCCAGCATTAGTCATTCAAATTCAAAAGTATTGTGATTGCACTGTGTGTTTAACTCTTTACAATGTAAACTTATTTCATGTTTACTGCAATGACCAGCATACTTGCCTGTCAATTTGAAATCCATTCCACTGTTGAGAAGAGAAGAAATTATAAACCCATGGCACCACACTAATTTCTCTCTGCTGTTGAGAAACTTCGGCTCCCATTTTCTTTTTTTTATGTTTTTCATGGAAGGAACAAGAAAACAGGTATGTTATATATTTGTTAGGAGTTCTGGACAGTACTTTCAATATTGATGAGCACAGTAAGACGTTAGCTCCTCCCAAAGAGTGGCTGAATGTAGCCTAAAATTAGGAAGAGTTATGGTAGGAGAGCAATAATGTGCGAGAAGTGTCCAGAAACTAGCAAGACCTGGGGTTGGTTGCTAAACAAGTAAAGCAAAAAAGAAATGGGCTCCAAGAAATAAAAGTGAAGAGAGTAGCTGATCATAGAATTAAGGCTGGTAAAGAAATTGGAAAGTCCGCGTGATGAATCTTAACAAATTATTTATCAAATTAGAATTCTACAACTTAGTAGACAGAACATGAGATAACCTGTTTTTGGTTTGTTTTATAAAACGAGATGCACATCATTTTAGTTTTATTGTTTTATATACATATTACATGAAGATCTACTGAAGTTAATTCCAAATTAAATAGATTAATTAATTCCACGGGGGGAAAAGAATTTACTTTAGGTTTAGGATTTACTCGAAGATAACAACCTAATGGCCTACTGGCACAATCTGAAGCCATTCTATGGGACTGATAACCCTTAATAACAACCATTTATTGAGATAACATCCAAAGCACGGCTGCAAACAGCCAACTATTATTTACTGTGTAAAAGTGTTGGGATCTGGAGAAGTACCACCTTTCTCCAGCAGAGTGCGCCGTGGGTCTCCTGGGCTGGAGCCCTCCAGCACACCTGGAGCTCGTCAGCCTATCAGGAGACCTTCACTACTTAAGCAGCTGCCAGACCTTCCTTCAACGCCGCAGTGTTAGCTAAGTTTGGTTAGCGAACCTGAGCCTCTTTGTCTTTTTGAACTTTGTCTCCAAGTGAAACCGAACTCTAACCAGCCTTTGTCTTCTCGCTCCTGGGAAAACCTGTCTCTTGTGTGAAGCTCTGGGAGAGCTTAATCTGTTACCTACCTGCCTGCCCATGAGAGCCAAATCTGAAGATCTCACTTTGGAATCCACCTGCTGCTCTCTGGGAGAGAGCGATCACTCAAACCAAGGTCTGACACAACAGTCAGAAGTTAGACACTGCAGCTGCTGAGCACTCTGCTAAACCAACAGTCTCTGGACCCAACCGGTTCCCTCCCTCAGAGAAGAAAGCCTGGACCTAATCAAGGTATTTTCTGAAAGATCTGAAAACTCAACAACTCCTCAGTCTACCTGGCTAATCAAACTGTCCGTCTCTGCAGACGCCTGAGTATCCAGCCCGGACCTGTTTCCTGAAACCAGTTTATGTTTTTGTGCAAATCTTTAATAAACTCTGTTAAACTTTTCATCAGTCTCCTAGTGGTGTTCTGCATGTGGGTTTGATTCTAAACCGATCATGACAAAAAGAAGGCTGAATCTTATGCATTACATTTTTTCAGTGAGAAAACATGATCTTTTCCAGTTCTTCAACCAAGGAATCCTGTTGAGGCCTAAAAATACCTTAGATATTTCTCAAAAGGACTCCATTAGTGGCCAATATTAGTCCCATTATTCTTTGTGAATATGAGCCCGAGATGATAGATAAATCCCCAGCAAACACAATGAAAGCCTATTAATGGTTTTACTCACCAAGCAAGAAAAGAATGATCAGAGAAAATCAAGATGTTGCCTTGTTCAACATAGATGAGGGGAATTTATCACCAGACTGTTTAAACAGTGAGACTAAAGTTCACTTAGCTTTTTTTCATTTTGGATTGGGTAAGAAGACCAGAAAACAAAC